TTTTTATCGGAGAAAACTTTCTAGATCACTTATTTACAGATTCGGAAACCACTCACGTTGTTCCCGGTAAATGGTTTATGATTTTACAACTAAACTATTTCTATATACAGGGTGATCTCGATTTTTTTTAATGGTCTTGTGATTTTAATTTTATTTAAAATTTTGGGATCTTATTAATATATTTATTATATACCTAAAATTTAGCAGTGCTAAACATTATGGAGAACACCAGTGCAGTTTACCGTAGCTATTACTACATCGAAAGGTTTTCTGCGAATTTTTGTTAATCGTTTAGAGGTGTAAGTTGATTGAATGTACTGCAGCCGACATATTTCAGCAGGCAGAAATAATCCCTTCGTATTGTGGAATCAACGATAAAGACGATGAATGGTTGATCACAAATTACTATTAGGAGACTAAAAGAAGAAAAAATAATTTGTGGTTTCTGCTATTCCCTCCCTTAGTAACAAAACAGGCATATCTATTTTTAACTGTTCACTTTGCAATACTATGAATACTTTTGGAGGTACATAAAGTAACGTAAATATTTATGCAATCGATTCACGTGGATTTATAACGAGAGGAAATGTTTGCTTTTTTTTCTCATATTATTTATATCTGATGTGGTAATTAGACGTGTGGTATAATTTTATAATTTTAATTGGAAAAGTAATAAATTTTATTTATATTCGACATGGGTTACGAAATACTGGTTACTCAAGAAAGTAGTAAATTACTAATTATAACTTCTATAACGGTGTAATAGGATAGGTTTACACCTATAAGATCAGATGCTTTCTCAAATTGCATTGAGATGACACAAGAAAATAGCTTCCAGAACAATAAATATAAATAATTGTAAATGGCGTGAAAAAAGTATTACGAAAAATGTACAAAGACACTTCACCAAGTCCCCTTCAAAAAATAGATCTAAAATTTATGTAATGAGGAATACTTATTTGAAAACGCTGTAACACAAAAATCCTAAAAGAATCCCAGACCCAATAAAATTAGATAATGATGCATTCAAAAATTTGTTGAATCGCCAAATAATAGACATCAGAAAAGGAGGAAACAATGTTAGATATAATAATATAATGATATACTTAGGGACATTTGGAAAATTTACATTTGTGTCAAATGTATATATTAGGTATATAGAATAAAGACCGAATTTAACGAGGCGCAATAGAATTATTAATTTAGCTAAAAGTTTTGGCCTAAATCAATGATTGTTGTTTTTAGTGAAGGTTTATCGCAAAAATCTATTAAATAGATAAAATAAAACCAACTAAACCAAGAACCAACGAAAATAAACTAAAACAGCAAATTTTGTTGAGTGAACTGAATAAATTAAAAGTAAGTAATGTATTCTAAACTTTTTTTACAGTGAAATGCAAGTATTTTTAATTAAAATTGTGATCTAGTCCAATAAATAATGATAGTTCGTATTTATCAAAGGTAGCAAATATGAAATTTACCACCTCCCTACATCACCACATAACTAATACCCATACTATTTATACTATGGATAATGAAACTTACCGGTAAATTTTCGTAACTTCTCTTGATCAGGATCAAAGTTCACACTCTTTGTGAGTAAACAAAACTAACCTCTCAATTACTCATCCAAAACAAAACACCCCCACGTGCTCATTTGACAGCCGGTATTTCTGAATCTGTTTACTATTACGACCACCGGGTCAATTGTTATGAGCGGGACAAATGAACTACCAGACAGCGTTGCCAATATCTCCGAAAATGGGAAACGTTTTAATATTTTGTAGGAATACCTTCTTTTGACAAGCAACAAATTATCTTTTTATTCTGATTTTGTGCAGTAGTAGATTTTTATTTTTCTCCTGCCAATATGAGTAGTTCTGGTACAGGTCTTTTAAGGGTGTTTAAAATTATTAGTTTGTTAGAGAATAGTTAAAAGGTGGCGCTTTTGTTAATTACCATTATTTCATTGTGGTTGTCAAAAGACCATTGGTGTAAATGGTCTTTGGTGGTTGTCGGTCTATTATAAATAACATTCGCTTCACTGCTGAAATGATCTAGCGGAAAGTTTGTTCAACCCTTTCCGGACAGAAAAATAAACAGACCAACGTAGTAGTTTAAATATCTAAATGAATCTGTTACTTTACATCTAGGCCACAGAATAATAAACAAACAGAATACCCACTCTCCACGGAAAATTAAGTACGCGCATCTCCTCCGCGCAGACGTTCCGCCATGTTTTAGGAGGATTTTAAAGAAATTAGTGTTGTTTATGTGGTGGGCATGGAAAAATTAACCAGGTTTATTTGACTTACGGCAATCATAGACATACTATACAATTATATTAACATTGTTAAATATAATAACATACATACAATAGAATTAAACATAAATATAAACAATGACGTATAATATATAGACTCGGTGAACGCTTTAAAAAGTGTCCAAAACATGAATACCTTTGTTATTGTTTATTGTTTTGATACGAAGATGCACGAAGTTCATGATTTCTTACGAAGCATCACGAAGTTGATCTTGTGTTTGAAAACATCATGGACGTACTCCATTTTGTGTGACAAGCAAATTTTATTTTAAATTGTTGATAGTTATTTACTTACTATTTTAGTAAAATGCCATACTATTTTATCAAAATAATTATTTCTCTTATAGACGGGAACAAAAAGAAATCATAAATATTTAATTTTAATTAAAAAAATAATTATTGTCATTAACATATAAATGAGCACGCCGCTGTTCTAATAAACATACCTTTAACCTTGAGCCGAGATCTTTCGGACACTCGATTCTATAGCGAGAATAGGGGACTGCGTAGTCTATATATTATACGTCATTGGCGCGCGTGCTGAAAAACTTCAAAGGCGGCATCTGAGAGTGGCCCTTCTGTTTGTTTATTATTCTGTGTCTAGGCCATGCAGGTCCATCTTGCATGGCATATTTCTTGCCTAACATTTGCCAAGACTATTATATTATGATAAATCCATGATAAAATCCTTGTCAATCAGTGATTATGACTTTCTACTATTATAATTTATCTATGATTATGACATTTGACATGGTAGAAAAATCAAACTTCCTACAAATTTTCCTAGACTTGCAGAGAAAATGGCACCAAACCGATTATTGCGCAATTGCAGGAAATAATCAGCTGACGACATAATGTGCATAACTTTCTTGTGTCTTGCAAACTGTGGACTTTGGAAATATTGCGTGGGCATGCGCACCCAGACAGCACAGGACATCCCTGGGACGTCCATTTTATGTCGTTTTAAGGTCCAAACGTCCCGGGACTTCTTTTGGACGTCCGAGGGACGTCCAAGGGATATTTCTAGTCGGACATACCAGAGACGTCCCATAAGGTCGTCCAAGGGACGTCCCATTAGGGATGTATTAGGGACGTTTTCTAGGTGTTAACTGTGTCATTTTTTTACTTAAGCATATTTTTTAACAAAATATAATCTTCCTACTAAACTTTATTTTAAAAAGTTATATTTAGTTTTAAATACCATTAATTTATACGAAAACAGACAGAGGCTCCTTTTAGAGAAAAATCTTTATCCTATAGCAGAGCTGTATCTCTAAAATTTTGTTCTGTAGTGGAACTGAAATTTAAAAATTAGGAGATAAAAGAAGAATGTGGTTATGTTTTAACGACGCTTCTATTTATCTCGTTTATTTCTCGAATTATAATCATTGTGGTTGTGGTTGTAATTAGAATTAGTTTATTGCTTTCGATACTAGTTTATAGTTTGGTAATTTATTATTATAGACATTAAGTAGGTATATAGGACTTTTATAGGTAATTTTTGTGGTTGTGGTGTGTTGCTACATTTGTAAAGTAAGTAGGAGTAATGTGCTTAAAAAATACTATAAATTTAAATACATATGTTAATATAAGTACACAATAAAAATCCCATTTATTTTTGCTTTTCATTTTATTAATTTTAAGTTCCCTTTAGGTCCTGTATACATCCTCATTTAGGTCCTATATTAGTCCATGTGGACGTACAATAGATGTCCCCAATACATCCTTCTTAGGTCCTATATAAGTCCGTATTAAGTTCTGTATATGTACTATGTACGTCCCCATGAACATCCCTGGGACGTCCAGGGGACGTACTTTTTGGTAACATTTAGTTCTTATTGGACGTCCCGGGGACGTCCAAATTATGTAAACGGATGTCCGTGGGATGTCCGGACATTTAATGAGGTACATCCTTTGGACGTCCATGGGACGTACTTGTGCTGTTTGGGCAGTTGCATAGTCTGTCTTGAATAGCATAATGTAAAGTCGACTTTAGACTAGAATTATAGCTGTTACCTGATCGGCCTAATGCTAATAAACCGCTGTATACATATTTTATGGTTCATGCATATGATATACTCTTCAATAATCTTTCGAAAATTTTTAAAAATTTTTCGAAAATTTCATTTTATTCTGACAAATCTCCACAGAACTATTGGATTTTTTTCTGTTTTAAAATCGCGATAACGACATTTTTATGTAACCAAACTGACCTGGAATTATTTGTTTGTACAATCTTCCGCAAAGCCTACGATCTGCAATTTAAGTATGAGCAGTATACACTGTTCTTTTATAAGAATAACTATTTTTTAATTAGTGTTTTGAAGGAAAAGGCAAGGTATAAAGAGTTTTTACAAACAGCAAAAAACATGTGACAAGTATAGATCTACAGTTGCAATGACATCTGGTGATAAAATGAAAAAACTGTCCTTTCTTGTTCTCTCACTGTAGGTAATGCACCTGATCTTTTAAACTTTTTGATGTTTTTTAGTTTGCCCTTTTGATCTATACAGTAGCGTTATTGTTTTTTTTGCATTTTCAGGACAAATCCTATTTATTTTGATAATTCAACCAATGTTCAATTTTTTATGGGATTTCTTAGTATTTATTACTTACCTGTCAGTTTTTGCTGTTTATTAAACTGCTGTTTCCTCATTGTTTTAAATAAAACTACTCTTCCATTTTTACTTTATTTAGTCTTAAAAAACATATATAGCATAATGACATTGTAGATATACCTTTATATTTTACAGCCAAATTCTTTTACCACCATTTTACTCTAAATACAAATTAAATGTTTATCGAATCTCTATTTATAAATATACTACAGCAAATAAATAAAATAAAATATCATTTAAAAGAAAACACTCACAAATTTATTAAAAAGTACCTTTGAACTGACAGTTCCTGTCAAAATTGGTCGCGACGGGTATTTTTATAACATTTATTTTGACAGTTAATGCCATATTAATCTCTAGCGGTCATTTTTTTCACTATAATGCTCATTAGTATAAAAAATAGTACATTACATCTTAAGATTTAACATTGGCAGCCAAAATAGTCCATAAAAATTCCTTTTTTTTTTCTTTATATGACTGTACTTTTCTCACCAGGCTGAAATATTCGGGAAAAAGTAAAATTCACGTTGAGTTATTAGATATGATTGCACAAACATAAAGAAGACCGTTCATTTATGGTTATTAGCGCAGTAGACTGAGTAATTAGAATTTCTGCGGTTTCCCCAGACTATTGTATAAATATATCTTTAACTTAGGTTATACAAGGTTGACGACGAGTCCACACTGATATTTGGCAAAATTCGTAGGATTTTGTGAAAATGCTAAGACAGGTCATTTTTTATTCTAAATGGATAATCTTTTAACGATATAGATAACTGTCAATTATCGACCTCCTTCCTTCCTAATTCTTAAATATTTAATAGGAATATATGGTTAGAGAGGTATTTTGCTGAAGAATTCAGATATGCATATTTTTTTCGAGATTAACTGTAGTCTTGTGAAACAGTATCAGTTTATTGAAAGTGTTACACCCCTTAAAAACTAAATGTAACGCCTATGTTTTGCTGGTATCAATTTCCAGTCATGTCAACTACACTAAAGCGAAATTGGCAACATTAATAGGAAACTTGACTAAAATGAACTAAATTTTAAATTAATAAATTCGAAACAGTTTACTCATCAGCTAAATTATTTACTTAAATGTTCAAAATAATATCCGCCAACGTCCATACAATTATAAGGTCGCTGTTCGAAATTACGAAGAACATTTTGGAGCATTATAGGGGTTACTACACTACATGCACGCAGTATTCATTATCTAGTTCTTTCAATGAAGCTGGAATGGTATTATAAATCCTGCTTTTTAAATAAACCCATATGAAGAACTCCAGGAGAGTTCAATCAGTGGCTTATTGAATGGAGAACAAGATCACCGATTTAAATTCCCTGGACTAATTCTCATATGGCGTTCGTTAAAAAGCAAGATTTTATTAAGATCACGAATAGTGCATGAATATAGTGTAGTAACCCCTAAAATGCAAAGACCCAAAGATTATGAAGATTAAAAATTAATTGAAGAGTATGATATATGGGGTCTAGAAGTAAATAAAAAGAAAACCGAATACTTGTGCATTAGAGTAGAACAAAAAGATCTCATATTAGACGATAACACCACGATATAGCACTGCTGTGACTACAAATATCTAGGTATCAGCAAAGAAAATAAAAAGAGGTATGAGACTATAGTAAAAATTATCACTTTATACAGCTGTGAGGTATGGCCACTGAAAGAAAGAGCACTGGCAATGCTGAAAGCGACCGAAATGGATTTTTGAAGAAGAGGAAGATTCGAACAAACAATCACAGATGACCTAACAACAAAACAACTTACCTGGTTCGGACACATACAAAGAATGGATGAACAACGAATACCAAAAGAAATATTAAAATGGCAACCAGAAGGAAAGAGAAAACGAGGTAAACAGAGAAAAAATTGGAGCGAAGGAATAAATAAAGAACTGAGAGAGGGCCATAGAAGAAGACATATGGAACAACCGGACTACCTAAGAAAATTTGTCTATTGGCAAATTTATGTGATAATTATAATTAATAAGTAAACATTTAACATACTTCAGTTTCCTGAAGAGCACAATATTTTCCTGTTGTGTTCCCTCCATCTGTATTTTCTGAAACCATAAAACCTACCTTGCAATTTTTTTGTTTTCCAACGATGCTTTAAGAATTATAGACAGACATCTACAATAGCAAATTTTTTATAATGCTCGGATTTTTAGTGGAATATTATTAGGTAAGTACTTACGTGTAACAATACTGCCATAACAATATCTTCAGACGACATCATATATTAAGAAAAAACAGAAAAAAATTGTAAATTTAAGTTTTGAAAAATAGGATATTTTAAATATTTTCAGCAATTAACCAGATTATAATTTGAAGTTATTTTATAGAAATTTGGGATATACGATAGTATATCATACGAGCCCCTTCAAATATCATTTGGTACACCTTTGGAATTTGCAGTTTAAGTCGATTACCATAAACAAATTAAACTCTGCATGTTTTTATAAGTTCCCATATTAGTTAATATGGCATTTTTATTAATATTTATTAAAAATTACCCTTATGGTTTTTTTATTTATTTTCAATAAAAAAAAATCACTAAACCCTCGCTATGCATTTACTTAAGCCGGGTACACACATGCCAGTAAATTGGGAAAGTAGCTGGCATATGTACACCCAGCACAAAACACATTTGCTAGTAATTGGCATGCCAGTAGCTCGCTTGCCTGTACTGGCAAGTCGAAAAAGCAGGGTAGATTTTTACACATGCCAGTGCTAGTACATAATCGAGTGGTTTTCATCTGAAACTAAAGTACTTGTTTTGTAATTAAATGTTTTTGAGTTTCCAATAAAAAAGGGGATCCATGGAAGATATTCGGAATGAATTAAACAAGCAAATATTGCTGATGACCTCGGGTATTGTCAGAGATTCAATAAGGAATCCGAAGCGGAACTCAAAAAAGAGAAAAATTTGCTTGGAAAAATAAGAGCAAAATTAAAAAAAAATCCATATACGATCCTACCCAGGACTCTTAGATTTTTGGCTACTGTCGATTCATATAAATCTCTGGAGGCATTGCATAGAGCAGGAAATTTAATTTTTGTGTAAGCATTGTCACGGGCCATTTGATTTTTATATAGAGATGATTTAGAATTCCAAAGACACTCCAATTCTCTATATATAGAAATGAATTTTATGATTTTTTCATCAGCCGAACGAAACATTTTTTAATTAGCAAATTTAAAAATAAAAATATCAATTTTTATCACCAACATAACAAATCTGACAATTCTCTACTAGCTACTGTCATGCCCGTAGCGGTAGCGCGCGTTCACACTTGCCAGTGACACTTCCTACGCATGCGCCTTGCAATCCACGGCATGCTACTAGCAAGATTAGCAAGAAAAATCAAATTCTTTGCGATTAGCTACCATGCTAGTTAACGTACACACTTGCCGGATTGGGGACAGTGGCTGGTGCTTGCTAGGTACTGGTATGCCATTGTGCTAGTGAAAGGCATGTGTATCTACGGAGTTATATCAACATATGTTGATTTTTTCATAACTACGTTAAATCCAGAGCTGGAAAAATGACATCAAAACAATAATATTGTCAGTTAATGTCAAATGTATTTTGTAGTATTGTAAAGTTTTTTGCCGTTTGTGGATTGTACAATTGTTCGAGGTTAAGTTATCGATGGGAAAATTTTTTCAATCATAATTAGATTTTTTAATTCTGGAAAATCCAAGTTGGAAATCGCGAATATGTTGCAATTGTCACTCTATAGTGTAAGAAATATAGTCAGAAGATACAAAACTACAAGTTCGTTCGGCACAAAACCTAGAAATGTACGAAAAAGTAAAATAACCGAAGCACGAACGTCATTAAGACGCATTATAGTGAAAAATAGACTAATAAAAATTAAAATTTGATACAAAGGTTTTATAGTTGAAAAAATTAGTACGAATTGTTTTTAATAAATTTCATTTTATTATCAATCTAACGTTGGGCCAACTGATACGGGAAGGGACTGATAGATAAATTCATATCTTCTGGGTTAAAACAATCAGTTAATCAGTTTAACCAATATAAACGAAATATTTTTGTTTTTTCTTATATTTTTCAGTAAACGCACACTTGATCATTGTGACGTCACTACAAATTAATAATATTGGTATAATCTAAATTATTTAATTTTTAATGAAAATATGTCACAATTTTAATTAAAAATACCATATTTTTGATGTTTCCGTTTCGATCTTGGAGATTTTCTCCCACGCGTCAAATATAACATTTTCAATTGAAATTGTGATTTATTTCCTTTAATAAAGAAAAATGTATCATGAAAAAAAATAAAATAATGTTTATTTAGAAGACCAAATGATTTTCCCTTCAACTGTCAATGTCCTGTCAACTGTCATACATTTGCATCCCAGGACCGCTTTTAAATGTCACGTTTTGTGTCAACCGTCATTCAATTTACGTCTAGTTGTGACATACGCAATTATTTAATAAAGCTGATGGTGTTTCCTTCATAGAAAAAATAGTTTTAGTAAAATGGTGGTGTCATAGTTTGTATAAGCATTCCCGACTCGATCCTATCTAAAATACTCCAAAAGAACTAAATACTAAACTTTTTATTGGCAATCTCTTACCTAATAATCTATAGATAAATACAAATATGTACAAATCAACTCATTATAATACAATGTTTTCTTTACAATAATATAACAAATAAATTCCAATATGATTTCGTTTTGTATCCACATCGTCTGTAGAATGAGGGATTAAATGCTAAAAGAATATGAACGTTAACAAAGATCAAAAAATGAATTAATAGTAAAAAAGGTACATCCTTAATGTAGGTAAAAAAAATTTAGAAAAACTGCACTGAATCTACTCCAGCTCCAGACTGGCGTATTCTTCTGGGGATACTTGCGTTATCATCAGGTTGCCGTCCGGAAGCATTACTACCACTTTGTGGGTTCCACCTGTAAGAAAAATCGATAAGAGGACAGTTTTGTGCTGTTTTTTTTTTAACACGTTCAACCCCGGTGTTATAATTTTTTTTCTTCAATCGGTCAGCATTTTATTTTTTGTAAATAAGATGGTAGTCGTGGATGCCTTTCCGCATTTCTGATTCATTTAAAAAAAAAAAAAAAAATTTGACAATCGAGTTATTGCACAACATTTTTGGGGCATCACATTGATGCCTCGCTATCCGAGGCATCCGAACTATAAATTTGTTTGCCTGGACAGCGTGGCATTTACGTGATGCCTCAAACTTGTTCATTCTTGTATGAAGCAACAGAAGTAGTTGACGTTATATTCTGAGTCATTCTTTGTTCAGTGCTCTTTGCGCGTTCGGTTATTGTATGAGTGTACTATAAAATATTAGATTACACGAATTTTTTCGATGGATTCCTACGAAAAAGAACAGAAAAGACTTGTAAGTTAAGAGTGGACGACCCTTATGCAAATTCTGGATCATCAGATGATTATATAATACCCAGTGGTGACACAGAAACCTCGGATTCTTCCGAAGAAATTCCTAGGAAACAGAAAATTGAATTGCATCAGTGAAGTACTAGGCGAACGCAATCTTGCAGTGCCAGGGTCTATCGGTACACCAAAAATTAACGTTACGGGCCGTTGAAAATGAGGTAAGTTTTACTAAACTTTTATGTTCATTCTGGAAAGTCATACATAATTTCTGTTTAGGATGACCTGGTACAACAGACATAGAAACTGTAATTTCTGCATATGCTGTTGTTGCAGAAGAAGATGAAGGGGAGAGTTCATATTTATTATGGAGCGAAGTTGACACTTCCAATTTGAAACATTTTCCGCAGACTATTCAAAATGCTGGGGTAAGACTGGAATATTACAATAATTTTACGGAAACTCATTATTTCTTTTACAAACTATTTGTGACTGATGACTTGATCGATTATATTGTTGATCAAACGAATTTATACGCAGATCAACAGATAAATGGCCGACTTGTAGCCAAATCTAAATGTAAACGTTGGATACCAACTACAAGAAAAGAAATGGAAATATTCTTTGTGGTAACTATATCGATGGGATTGCTAAAAGCACCACGATTACGCGACTATTGGAGCAGAAATTAATTTGTTACCAATATAAGACACAAAAAGTCTAGAAATCGTTTTGAGCAATTACTTTCAAATATTCACTTCAACAATAATGAAACAGCGCCACAACCAAACTCACCGGATTTTGATCGGCTTCACAAAATATCTCCTTTGGTTCAAAAACTTATTTCTAGATTTCAGAAAATTGTCACTCCAGGAGAAAATGTCTGTATTGACGAGACGATGGTACCTTATCGTGGTTGCTTGAAATTCAAGCAATATATCAAAAATAAAAAACACAAATTTGGTATCAAATTATATAAGCTTTGCTTAGAAAACGGCTACACTTATGACCTCAAAATTTATATAGTCAGGTAGACTGAGTCATAGTAGATAGTCAGGATGGTTAAAATGCCTTTTTATCTGTAGTACAAGCGTCACCCTTGCTCATACACTGCTCAGCCGTACAACTCACGTTGTAGGCACAGTTGGGCCAAACAGAAAAATGAATTGTCCCGAGGTTGTCAAGAAAAAACTAAAAAAAAAATGATGTGACAAAAGGAATGTCTTGATGATTAGTACAAGGCATGGGGATGAAATGTTGAAACGTCTACACAAAGGCAAAGACATTGAAAAGCCCAAAATAATTGTTGATTATAATGATTCAAAATCCTTTATTGATCTCTCAGATCAGAAAAAGCGTATTCACATTGCTTGAGACGAGGGAATAAATGGTACAGAAAATTAGCCATAGAATTATTGTTTGGTAGTGCCTTTGTGAATGCTCATATTGTATATACACAGGTTACACAAACTAAATTGACTATAACAGAGTTCAAAACAGAAGTCGCTATAGAACTACTGGGTGAAATGTCCGCTATTGAAACTAATATCAACGATAACACGTTGTGGTTTGCTACGTCAGAATGAAGAATGAATTGGGGCGGTAGGAAGCTCAAAATAAGTGTTTCCGTTCTAAATTTTTGTGCAACCAATGCAAAAAACATTATTGTATTTCTTGTTTTTTCTCAACACATAATGCTGTTTTAAAATAATAAGATGTTATATTATTATAATTATTTTTGCACTTTATTTTTTTCATAAAGTATTATAATTTCCATATCTTTCGTAAAAACCGTCTCACATCCGATCAGGAAATATTACTTTGCTCCTTGGACCACTCTGTCAAACTTACAATGTAATTTATATAGATGTGGGGACACAGTTGATGCCACGGTGTCCCGAGTAGTGTGGCATTAGAGTGATGCCTCACTGTCCCAAGAGTACTATTTAGTGAGGCATCATATTGATGCCACCCGGGGCTGAACGTGTTAATAAACTAATAATTATCTCGTTACATACCCGGACTTGGTGGTTCTGCTCTAACCACTTGTGCTACGACTTGATCAGAATTTTCGGTGACGTCTGTTTTGATAGAGAGGGGATCTGTCACCGCGGGGCTGATTTCGGGGATGATTTCCTGTTGTTGGGGTTCAGCTTCTTCGGCGGCCGGCGTCTCCATCGTTTCCGCAATTTCGTTCGTCACTAACAAACACTGCTGCTGGCCGTCACTACCTTGCGTCAACAGGATAGTTTGTCCCTAAAAAAATTCATCGATTTAGGTTATATATACCGAATGTTATTATAGTTATTTGTTTCAACTAAACATGTAATTATTATTGATTATTACCTGTTCATTCTGTCCAGCTACTTGATACACGGTACCATCGTCGCCGGTAATAAAGATCGGATGATCGTTGTCGTTGAGCGTGAACGAAGACATATCAGGCGCTAAGGCGTTGATGCCCGACGTTTCGCCCGCTACGTTCTCTTCAGGTTCTTGTTGAATGGCGACCGGTACTTGGGTAATCGATGGTTCTGAAACCACAGCTATTTTGTGTGTTTCATGCGATTCTTCCGGTTCGTGTGCTTCGAGGGCGGCTATCGTTTGTACGGGTTGAACGGGAGCTTGTTTTGGTTTCGGTTGTGCAGGTTTAGTTGTAAGAAGCAGGTCGTCGTCACCTAATGAAAAATAGACGATAAAATGCAGGCAACATGTAGGAAAAACGTTGAATTAAAGATATTTAGTCAAGTTCCATGACGCAGAAGGGCGTCATATATATTTTAATTTATTGCTCTTGACGCATTTGTGCGTCATGTGCCATGAAAAACCAAATTTTTGAATATTCATCAACAAATACTGACTTCAAAGTATTTCTAATGTCTTTGGCTAATAACCGAAGAAAAAACTCTTCATATAAGAATATGGTATAAAAAATAATGAATTAAACACAACGAAAAAACCTAATGGGCCAAATATGTTAAAATATTGAACTTATTTAATCAATATTACGTCAAGATTTTCTACTTACTTATCAACGAAGGCATATTGATAACCGTTTTGGGTTTTTGTTGTACTATCTTTCTTTCTATTCTCTCCGGCTGGCCTCGAACTTGTACGGGCTCCCTTCTCACCTGCGTCTGTATCACCTTTTGCACCAATCCCGAACTGGTTCTGACGTATTTTGTTTGAACTTTATGCTGATTATTGGTTGCAGGCACACCCGAGGGGGAACTCCTAGAAGAAAAACATTCGAATAGTAACGGACTAGACAGTTTATATGTTGGGTACATCATTGATGTTTAAGAATTTTCGAAGCGATTCAGTTGTCATATAAAAAAAGAATCTTAAAGTTGAGCTAAACTGTTAATTGTGATGATTTGATTAATTATGTTGTTGCAAAAATTCACTTGTGATTAGTAAATCAATCGGTTCTACGATCCAATTCCTTTGGTTCAATTAAAATATCTGTCTATAACTAAGCCACCTCTAAATAGTTACATCATGGATAATTGAATGGGGAATTACTTACAGTACATTCAACCGACTTACACCTCTAAACGATTAATAGAATTCGCAGAAAACCTTTCATTGCAGTAAAAGGTACGGCAAACTGCACTGTTGTTCTCCATAATGTTAACACTTTGCTAATTTTAGGTATAAAATAAATATGTGTCATTAACCCGTTGTTTATAATTTTGCATATTTTACATTTTTTTTTAATAAATAGTATTCCTGCATAATGTTATTTAACATGAATTTCACAGATGGCGAAGGCAAAAGACACATCATTATTTATGCAGGAGGGAAAGAAGACTTTATAGAAAACGCAGAATTGATTTTTTCTTAAAAATCAAAATCTGCTGATAATCATGTAAACATGAATGCAAATATGTTAAATGGCTTGAAGAGAAACTGTTACCTAATCTGTGTGAACCATCAGTTATAGTTTTAGATAATGCACTTTACCATTCGGAGATTTTGGAGAAAAAAACCAAAACAGTCGTGGAACGTACCGAGCATAAAAAATTGGTTAGTTAAAAATAATATCAATTTTCCGGAACACGCCTTCAAATCAGAGCTACTGGAAATTTCGAAACGTAATGAAAAACCAACAGTTTTATATAGTTAACCAAATTGTATCAAGTTTGTAGCATTTGCATTTTCCTATATATTGGAATCCCCACGTATATGTAATAAATTGAAATCCCCTCATATATGTATTAAAATACGATAACCGAAGAATATTTTCTATGTATCTCTGTTCCTATCGTACGTATTAAAATACCGAATTCTTTCAGTTCATCTTAGCGTCCCGGGGTCGAATTCTATGATATTTTTCTTTGATTTAAGCCGCTCGATATTTCGATATTTAAGCATTTCAAATAAATATCCATTTGGATCGCTGAGAAGTTTTTGCCGGCAAGATAATTGCTGATTCTGACTTGGGTCGCTGTAAGAGACAGTTGGCTTCAGTGTGGATCCAAATTTTACGTCAAATTTGAAATGTTCCTCGTTGTTCGTCTATTTTCATGGAAAATATGTAATGTATTGTGGCAGTTAATGGTTCAGTTACAGTTTCAAGTGAGAATTGGAAGAATCGTCGTTTCTATCCTCGTTTTGTTTCTCCCTTGTTGGTATCCCAGGCTTTTTGGAAGTTTGTAGATGAATTTGTTCGTGTGTTCGTTACAGAGAGTGAAGCCCAGTTCTACCCCGAGAAATTCCAGAGAAATCCAGTTCTATCCCCAGAAATTCCAGTGAAGTCCAGTTACAGAAAATTCAAAGTGATTTAGTGTAGTCAAGGTAACTTTTTTGTTTTAATCAATCAATCAATATTCTTTATTTCATCTGACTTTTACAAGTATTGAAATGCGTCAAAATATAATCTAAAAAACTAAAGATACATAGGTAGTAAAAAAAGTTAAAACTATAAGCACATAAAACATAAAATATACACAAAAACATAAAAATTGTTAAAAAGATGCCTGCAAGTATTAATCTGACGAATAGAAAGTGTTTGCCAGAAGTAAGTCCTTAACTGTTCTCTTAAATACATAAATATTTGACTCTTTAACATAATTAGGTAATTTATTATACAAACTAACGCATGTTGGGTAAGGACCCTTGCCCACAACAGTCAAGTGACGAGCAGGGATCACCAAATCATTTCTGTAACGAAAATTGTAACCACTCATTAAGGAAACATCATTTCTGCAAATAAAATTACATCTATGTGACTTTACATAAACAATACAACTGAAAATATACAGAGAAATTACAGTTAAAATATTTAATTGTTTAAAAACTGGTCTACAAGAATCCAAGCGCCTTCTAAACGTCATGGTATGAATATTTTTTTTTAAGAACAAGCACCTCATTAATTCGTGAGCAATTTCCCCAACAAACTAAGCAATATTGCAAAATTGATTGTACATGAGCAAAATAGTAAAGTTTCAAGATATCTAGGGAGACAAAATTTATAAGTTGCCTTAGAACATAAATGTGAAAAATTCATAGAAGAGTAGAGATGTGTAGTTCACCATCGAAATAGTTCAAATGAACGATTCTTTTAACTGAACTAATTGAACTAGTTCATTAATTTTCGTAGAACTAGTTCACTGCGAACGATTTGCATTATAAATTGTGTATCAACTTCTAAAGAAGAAAATAATGAATGAATGAATGAGAACATATATTTATTATTTTGTGAATGGATAAACTAACTAGTTTAAAAAAATACTGATTAGCCTCAGATAACATATTCATAATTCTTAGCAATGTGTCAATAACATAAAGTCTTATCTTAATGTCATAATGGTTCGGATCTTATGCCCATGTATTGGCTTGGATGTTGCCATGCTGTGTTTTTCTTGTATTGTAATTTTGAAATAAAAATTTTAGTTGTAGTTAAAAGATTGAGGCATTTACATAAAATATAATTTTATGTAAAAGTGAGAATGAAAATGTGTTATTTAATGTTCCTAGAAAATTCACTGATTTTTTTTGTTAAGGTTCTTTTAGAAATAACCTAATTATAAATACCTATGAGTTTAAATATACATAAATATAAAAATAAATCATATGTGAACCATATTTATATTTAAAACGGTTAATAAAAAACAAATCTTAATAATTTTTTGCAAATAAAAACTAACTAATCATATAATAATTTAAACCATTTAAACCTAAACATACGATCGAAAGAAATAGTTCCGAACTACTTGTACGGTAGTAAACTAGTGAACAACTGACTGAAAACCAAACAAAACGGGCGGACGGCGCCGAGCTTGTGTGATGATTGAGACGAGACATCTGGCAACCGGTTATGTTGGGGTTGGATTTCGATTTCGGTCCTACAAATAGTTCTTTCGCGAACTAGTTCACTGAACTAGTTCATTTTTGTGAAATAGTTCTCTTGAACTAGTTCGTCTAAAAGAACTAATAGGCACACCTCTATAGAAGAGTAATGGATCCGGGAAAATAAAATCGAGTGAATTAATACAATGATTAAAGATTTACAAAATGATAGCGATAGTGAATTTAGTGACGATGACAGATGATTTATAAATTTAAATAATCAGTAAGTACAATATTATAATATTATTTACAAAATAATTATATAGCAAGTTAACCATTATATTTATACATTCATTATTAGCCAAATAAGCAATAATATTTAAAATTCCATTTGAATTCTTGCTTCTCATTTTATACAAATTAACTCTTAACTGATAATATAGGCAAAAATATTATAAACAAAGTAAGTAATTAAAAAGATTGGATTAAAAAGTAAGATGGAGAGCTCCAGTGCAGTTTACCGTGCCTTTTATTACAACGAAAGGTTTTCTGTGAATTCCATTAATGGTTTAGAGGTGTAACTTGGTTGAATGTACTGTAAATGGGGGAAAAGAAAACTTTATCTAGTATGGCATAACCAACCAGCAAACAGTAGATTACTCCCTCTCGACATCAGCTTGTAAGTTTCAAAATACTCTCAAGCGATTCAACCACATTTTAAACAGTTATTGAGCTGACTTCAGTTATTTTTGGTGATTCTATTACGACGTAATCCCCTATTCGTAATTTCTACAATCACGACTTTCTAATTTAATTAAAATTCAAACTATTAAAGTAATTTTTTGTATAAGGACCACAAAAAAATTATAAAAACTTACCTGATGGTGGTGCTTCCGATTTTTCGCATCGTAGGAGAAGAAACGACTTGCCTAGTGAAGGAATATACGTTCTTAGGCGATGAATTGTGTTCCGGTTGGATGAACTTCTCGGACATATCGCTGGCAATGTTAAACCTCGGTTTTGGGGCCACCGGTTTTGTCCTGACGAATGTTTTCGTTTGTCTAACTACCGGATTCACTATGGGCCGTGCCATCGAATGGTTCAGAACTCTTTGCTGCTAAAATAAAAATGCAATAGATAAGTTATATGCAGAAATTATAATTCATCTCAAGATATACACAAAGAGCTGTAGATATATGTTATTGAAGAAAGAATACTGGAATATTACTAAAGTGTACTTACTTGTTTTTCTGCAGATCCCGTTACCGCTCTTCTTATGACTTGAGGACCCGTCAGGGCCTTGTTTAGTATGGAAGTCGGGTTTGCTATTACCTTGCGGGAGGTAACGGGCATTTTAACTACCTGTTTCGTAGACGAAGCGGTGGGGAATCTTCTTTCAGGTACAATCTGAGGTTCAGTCTATCAAACATTAAAAATGGTATATTACAATATATATTGTAATAGTAATTTTTAGAAACTAATTAAAAAGATCAATTTCTGATGTTAAATATTGTTGCAAAATGTTTTTCAGGTGCTATTGAGTTTCTGTCTTTTTTATTAGAGGAGGGTGAACAGCATATCGGTCATTTTAGTGAGTCGGATCCGAGAGTTGATTGGTTTGACTCATAAAATTTCTGAAAATGACCCATGAATTGGTTGTATATCTAAAAATGGACATGTTTTTGCAAAATTGTTTTCCAATATTTAAAATTGTTTTTCATCTTTTTCTCTCAGAATCTGCCGTATAATTACTTCTTCTTAGAGTGCCGTCTCCCTACGGAGGTTGGCAATCATAATGGCTATTTTTATTTTAGAATTTGCTGCTCTAAACAAATCAATTGATCTGCATTGATACCAATCACGTAGATTCTTTAACCATGAGATCTGCCTTCAGCCAACAGATCTCCTTCCTTGAATCTTTCCCTGTGAGACTCAAAATTTCATATTTTGGTCCCCTCATCACGTGGCCAAGGTATTCTAGTTTTCTGGTTTGTATAGTGGTGATTAGTTCTGTTTCTTTACCAACTCTCTCCAGTACTTCTTTATTGTAATTCTATCAGTCCATGATATTTTCAATAATCTGCGGTATAACCAGAGTTCGAAGGCCTCGATTCTTTTTAAATTACACTTTTTTTAATGTCCAAGTCTCAGCTCCATATAATAATATTGAAAATATATAACAGCGAATGGTACATAGTCTGATCTCCAATATTAAGTTTTTTGCACGTTATGAGTGGCTTCATTCATATAAATGCTGATCTGGCAATGTCTATTCGCCTGTTTATTTCTACAGTATGATCATTAGTTTCATTGATCAAAGTTCCCAAGTACTGATATTTTTCTACTGGTTCTATCACGTTACAATTGATTGTCAATAGGTGATGTATATTTTGTGGTCTTTTTGTAATTAGCATGTACTTCGTTTTTTTAGTGTTTATAGTAATTCCCATTTCAGCACTATTCATACTCAAGCTTTCGATAAGATGTTGTAGATCCTCTATACTCGTTGCTATGATCACAGTGTTGTCTGCATATCTTAAGTTGTTAATTAATTTTCCGTTAACGGTGACTCCTGCTTCAATATTATTGAACGTGTTTTGGAAAATTTCTTCAGAATATAAGTTAAACAAAAGTGGCGATAAAACACACCCCTGTCTAACTCCTCTACAGATCCTCATTTCTTCTGAGTGTTGCCCATCAATTTGAACTATGGCACTGGTTCCAATATAATGTTTGCACTATATTTATGATTTTACTGTCAATGGGCTTGTTCATAAGTATTGATATTAGTTTTTCATGTCTTAATTAATCGAAAGCTTTTTCATAGTCAATGAAGCATAAGTATAGATCAACATTTACATCCCGACAACGTTGAATCAATATGTTGATGGCAAATAGTCCTCGAGTACCCATTCCATTTCAAAACCCGAACTGTGTCTCGCTAATAACCTCCTCTAGACTTTCGAATATTCTCTTATATATTATTTTTAGCAGAACTTTTAAAGTATGGGTCATGAGGCTCAGTGTTCGATAATCAGAGCACTCTTTTGCTGCTTGTTTTTTAGGGATGATTATAAATGCTGACTTCAGCCACTTGCGGTATTATTCCCATATCATTCACTGTGTTGAATAAATCTGTCAATATGTACTTCCAAGTTATCCTCTTCCACTAGTTTTAACAGTTCTACTGGTATTTCATCTAATCCAGCTGCCTTATTGTCTTTAAGAGTTTTTGATAGCATATTTGATTTCATCTATCGTGATCTTCTGTCTCTCTAAAGGATTAATTCTTGTATTTTCTGCATTTCACCTCTTTCATCTTGGAAAAGTTCTCTAACGTACTCCTCCCATTGTCTTAACTTCTCTAATTTTTTTGTACATATTTCTCATATCATATTTTGTTTCTATGTTGTTTTATCAAATAGATTTCCTTAGCTGTTTTGATTTTTTCCTTAATTATTCGTTGTATGTCTTTATACTTCTGTAGATCTTTTCCTTCTTTCTTCCATCAGTAATAGTATTTCTTCCAGTATCATCCAGTGTTTTTTAGCCTCTGACCTATGTTGTATCAAACTTTCTTGAGCTGGTTTCAGTAATCTGTTTTTTGTATTATACCACTTTTTATTTACATCCATAATTTGTTTGTTGTCTGTTAATATTTTTTGCATATTAATTCACATTACTTTTTAATTCGTTTTTTATTTCTTCGTTTTGTATCATTCTTACGTTAATTTTTGGTTGTTGTTTTCGGAGTTCAATTCTTTTTAATTTTATTTTCACGTCAGCCACTAACGGATTGTGGTCTGAGGTAACATCTGCTCCAGGATAATTACTATGATTATATTTTTCTGACATATTCTTGCAAAAAAGCGAAAATTTACCGTTTTTTAATTCAACCCTACAAAAAATTCTGCAAAGAAAAATTGGTATAAAGTACATGAAAATTCCCATGTTACTTCCTCAGGATGGTTAATTATTGTAATGCTATATGAAATCTTTATTAACGTTTTATTTTGTGTGCAATTAATAAATCATTATTGGACTAATATTGAAATTTCCATTCCTACCTTAATAATTTTCACAGGTTCCGCTGATTGAACTAGATGGTGCACTTCAATGTCCATGGGTTCCTCCTGGGGCTCGTTCTTCAAGTCCTCTTCTGTTATATCTGCTGCTGCCAACTTAACTATATTATCTAGCGACGAGTCTGATTTGGCTTCCTCGATTGGCTCGGGTTCAGGCTCTGGATATTCTACACCTACAATAATAAAAATCCAATCAAATTATTCTCATTGTTATTTTATGAATACACAGAGAAAAAGTTTTCTACTCCTTACCAGCTATTTTTCCAGTTGTAGGATCCAAAATAAATTCTCTGTTTTCTTCTTCTTCCGGTTCCGGCAATTTGATCTCTTCTGGGAAAGGCAATTCTTCCAACCCATCATCAGATTCGTCCTCTCTAATCTCTGGTTGTTCCCTTAATTTCGCGAATGTTTTGGGGCTCGGTTTTGGAGCCAATTCTGGGAGTTTCTTGACGACCATCGGTTTCTTATCGGTGTCTACCTTGGCTGATAGAATTTGTTTTTTGAGGACTTCTGTCTTTTTAGGTGTAACTGGCGATGCTTTCAGTTCTGATAAGCTTTTTTTAGCTTTGGTCAGGTGACTCTTCAGTGCCTAAAAAATAAATATGTCTAAAGAGGCTCAAATGGTCCAATAATATTTATTTACTTTTGGCGTTTGTTGAACACTCTTAGGACTCATCTGGACAACCTGTTGTGTAGATGTACCATCTTTCTTCATGATTTTTATGTGAGTCTGTCCAATTTTAGGTGCCACTTTAACGATCATCTGGCCGCTGCTCGTAGCTACTTTAGATGTACTGGAGTCCAATTTTATAATACCAGCCGTTTTCGACATGATGTAGACCTGAAAGTGATAAATTTTATTAAAATTGGAAGGAATTATAAACTACAATAACTTACTCCTGTGCTCAAAGAAGGGAGCTGCTTCTGATTGATCCTAACTACCCCGTTAGCATCCGGTATGAGAATATTTTGCGGCAAAGGAGTGTTTTTACCAACTCCGTTTTTGATTACTTGTAGCGGAGACGCCGGCGGCTTGGGAGCAATTTTCCTCAACGGCGTTTTAGGTTTAGACACTTCTCCGTCCGAATCTTCCGACATTTCTTCATACTTCATTCTTTTTTCGAAGGACTCGTCACTGTCCGGCGATCGAGAGCGTTTTAGACTAATGCCCTCTTCGTCTGAAATGTTTCCACACCAAGCCTTCACTTGATCTAGAGCTTTCTGTTTGCTCGTTCTTTGTGGGCGACTGAAAAAAAAGGAAATGAAAAATGTCAATTATGGTACAAAATGTTATCCTACTGTATTTAATGGAAATTGGAGAAAATACGTTTTTTTCGAAGTTACTATCAAAAATCCTTAAACTTTGGGTAAATTCCCATAAATATACAATGGTACTTGGTTATAGCGTCATTAAAGGGCCCAGTAAAACATTACGCTATATGAGAGTGACGTTATAAAAGAAGTAGAAAAAAATGAAATTTTAACGAGACAAAATTTTATTACAGCTGCATTCAGGATAAAAAAAATAAGAAATAGAACATATCATGTATATGAAACTTACATTTTTTATAAAAAAGTTCTCTAATGCTGAAAAATTCAGTTATTTTATTCTGTTCAACCCTTTCCGAAAAATAAAGTTTTTCTGTAGTGTCCTTAATAATCTGAGCTGCGTCTTTGGTACTTGTGAATGCCTTCCTGAACTGGTAAAACCTGCATATGGTCTTAGCAGCTCTCATTGCTTCTTGGATTGTAGGCCAATCAACGCCATCTTCTTCATTATCTTCATCTACATTCATTTCCACATTTTGCACTTGTTCCACAATTTCTTTATCACTTAAAACTTGAAAAGTTTCTACCTAATAGTCTACTGAAATGTATGAGTCAAGATCAGTTCCAAACTCTCTCCGCTTTACATTAAATTTTTGTATTCACTCTGATAAAGGCATTTCGCCAACCTCGTCAACATCCCGAACATTGGGAGAAATTACAGTCAATTTAGCTTGACGAAAGCACTTACAAATTGTCACTGACGTAACCGCACTCCACGCATTGTCTAAAAACTGAACTGCATCAAGGATGGTAATTTCTCGGGTTCCCCATTGTCCATACAAAAAAGCATCCTTTTCAAAAGCTGTTCCCGATAATGGCACTTTAAACTTCTTATGACACTTTGGTCCATAGGTTGCAAGACACTCGTGCAGTTGGCTGGTAAGAAAACTAGGTTGATATTGGTCAAATTTAGCTTGGCACAGTTGTCAACTAAGAGAAGAATTTTTTTTTTTTTTTAAACGAGTTCCTTGTCCCACTCTCTCAATTCTTCTTAAAAAATAGCAGAAGTTATCCACGCTTTTTTGTTAACTGTGAGTGTTTTTGTTTTTGAAACATCTAGGATGCAAACTTCTACCCAATAACCAAAAGCATTCTTTTCTCTGTACCTGTCATGTTTGCACAAACAAAAGCTGTGACTCTTTGTCGTGAAAGCTTTCCACCGACACATTTTTGATTTTTGAAATTTAAAGTTTAGTCTGGAGTTAATTTGTAAAATACACCAGTTTTTTCGCCAATGAAGATATCTTCATCCTTGTATGGTTGCCTTAGTTGTGGCCATGTGATTTGTAACCAATCACCTTGAATATTCAAGGGGCTATAGACAGTTGTGATGAATACAAAAAACAAATGGATGCTTTAAAAATGTGACGCCCAATGTCAAAAATGTCATTTGTCAAATGCCAAAAATTACGCTAAATGTCATGTCAATATCAAAAATGTATTGTAAAAAGTAGAGAAATATTAATATGATTGTGTCTGTCAATTATAGACCTACTTTTTAATTGTGATATGAAATTTCATCAATTTTTCAATTGAAATTGTGATTAATTCCCATTGAAGATATTCAATGATAGTCATAATTATTGTATCAGACGTCAAATGTAACATGTAACTGTCAAAATGACGTCAAACGTCATGTCAATGTCAAAAACATATTAAGTAACACCTTATATGTACGTTTGCAGTCTACATTTTCTTAGCAGTGACTTAATTTTGTCAGGTTAGTAATTAAATAATAACATATTTTTATTGATAATATCCCAAAAACAAATATTTTGATTCTAATGCAGACATTTGCAAATATTGCAGTAACAACAAAGAGAACAAAGCTGAAAAAAAATGCTGTGCCATCCCAAAATTTACTTCGAAGTTCTGCCATTACAAAAATCAATAACCCTGCTATAACACAAATTAGGATGGACAGAATCCAAAGAAGAAATATACAGAGGTACATATTTACATCACAATATTTTAAACTGTATTAACATTTTTTACATTGTTGTAGGGAGAAATGTTGAAAAATTGTAGTAGAAATCATCCAAGTACATCATCAATGTATTTCAGTATATATTTTTGTCCAGATTTATCTGAAATTAAACCATTTGGTTGTCTGATGAATGATTGTATTGGTCACTATATTTTGTAAATAAAAGATTTATTTTGTTTTAATAATCTATTTATTATTAATAAAAAACTACCTTGTGAATGCCTTCATTTTTATTTAGGTGTAACATCAAGATCATTAAATGGTAGAGTAAGTGAACATCAAGTTTATAATATTAAAAATAGAGAATTCGATAGATCTCAAATATGTAAACATGCATGGAACAATGAACATAGGGTTCAATGGAATAATTCAAGTATAGTCATGAAAGAAACAGATAGTAAAAAGAGAAAAATCAAGGAGACAGCTCTAATTATGCTTAATGAGACCAATTCTGTTGCAAATTTATTAGCAGAGTGCAGTAGGAAGTGGTTACCCATATTAAAAGAGGAAATCAATAAAAAGAAAATACCACTATCATTAAGTCAATAACATATCGAGAATACATAATTTATTTCCTTAAATAACAGAAATACAAATACTTACCATGTTGGGATAGTATCGTGAGGTTTTTTCCTCATGATTTATTATGGAATCTTTTACAGACAAATTATGTGCTATGATCTATTCTGACAGGTGATCTCAAGTTAAGGTTGATTTCATGTAGTCAAATGAACTATCTTACAATAAAGTCAAGTTCAAGTTATTCATTTATGTTAATATACAATAAAGTACGTAAGTCAAAAATAGTATAAAATAAAAATTAACATATTAAAAACATAAGGCATAATATAAAATAATGCATATATTAGTTGAGACAAACATTACACGGAACATTATATTCTAGGTTCCCAGATATACACAAAATAGGATTCATCAATACACAAGATAGTTCCAAACATTAAAGTTAAAATTTAAGAATTTATCACTTGAAAACTGATTCCCCTTCAACCAATGGACTCTGCTTCACCACAATACACAAAGATATCATTAAGGCTAATTTCCTTTTTTAAATGATAAAAATAACTCGTCTTAAACCAAACTAACCATGAAAAGGCAATGGTAAACATTAGACTGTCATGTTTGTTTATACCATGTATATCGGCCATGACACTACAATCGACCTGCCCTCCACATTCAGTTTCAAAATCGCGAATTGTGATATCAAGTGTAATAAATATCGCAGCGGATATCATGTCACTGTCAAAATGCCATTACTTTATTGTTTTTATAAAGTATAAAGATGATTTGATCAAATTAGAGACATCAAATGTCATAACAATCGAATCGGACGTAAAATGTCACCTGTCACTGTCAAAATATCTAAATGATTATTTTTATAAAGTATAAATATAATTTTTGATGGCAAATCTGATTGATAAAATTAGAGACTTACTTTTTAGATCCAGTTGTGGCTGAACTAGCTGCGGCTGAGCTGGTCGATGAAGCTGTCGGCTTCAATTTGGGAGTATTTTTACTGGCGGCTGCAGCTATTTGTTGTTGCTTGGCCTTTTCCGCTTTCAATTTCTTAAGTTGTTCTTCGAACTCGTCCACCATTTGTCTGCAGTGATTGAGATTTGATAAAGGTTCCCAGGTGTTGTGTTCGCTAAAAAAATCATAATTAAAAGAAATTCCCATTCAAAGGTAATTTATAACTTACCTTGTGAAATGTTCCCACTTAATTTGGTACTCCCAAGTCTTCTTCTTGGGGTTAAACCTCTTCGCTGCGATTTTTTCCACAGCGTATTCGCTTTTATCCAGATTAGGAGCGGATCTCATGGCCTTGTTAGTGTTAGCACTGTTGTTATTTACCTAAAAATTGACGTTAACATAGAAAACTTTCGACAGAACGATTGTGAAATCAAAATAGGTGAAAATGTGAAAAATTAACTAATTGGTTTTTGTATCTATCTAACTGTGATAAACTACGAAAAATCTACCAAGGTTATAAGTTGATGAAAAAGCGAACAAAAAAAAGTTGAAAAGAAACACTGAATTCCTTTTATTTAACTAACTACTAATAAAACTACTGATACAGAAAATTTAAAAAGCACAAGAACGTGAACTATAATAATATACCAATGAAGTTTTAGATATACTACTTTGTGTAAGTCTTTGGATCGAAATAAAAAATTTAATTAAGTATTTATCAAATCAATTTTTAATATACTGTCTTCATACATACTTTTTCTGTACCTTTTGTAGTACTTTACTACAAAACGTTTATTAAATAATCAACATTAAAAAAAATTTTATTTTGATCCAAAAAGTAACAAAATACAAAAATGAAAGATACAGAATAAAAATTCTGCTAATTGAATCAACCAAATATACCAACACCAGTATTCCTTTCATCAACGGTTTAATCTACAAAGCCTACAATGATAAAAGAATAGGGACAAAATGAATAGGAAGAAACAAATGAAATTATTTTAGATTATGGTAAAAAAACTAAGAATTTTGTAACTTTTTTTATGAAAAGTATAATGTTTATGGTAAAAAACAGACACAATAAAAATGATTTTAATTTATATGAAGTGAAAAAAATGACAAAACTTTAACCTTTGGTAGATATTTTGACGTCTTTGCCACATCCTTGGCTTATCTATATTACCATGCAAATAAAGATAAGGCTACAGTTGCAATCGCAAGCAATAATTAAACAAAGCACAACACAGTTGAAAATCGACAATATGTTACCTTCGGAACCGTAGGAACAGCTTTAGGTTTATTAATAACTGTTCTTTTAACATCGAGCAAAGGCGATTTAGAATTATCAACTGAGGAATTTTCCTTATTACTATCTGCTAAAATCAAAGAATTATTAAAAATTTTCACAATTTCACAGTATTATTACTTTTACCGAAACCATCCAAAGAAAGCGGATCTTTGTCATCTTTAGCAACAGGTTTGTTATGTACCTTGACTTCGGTCACCTTAGCAGTCTCCAATTTGTGGCAATACTGCAGAAGCTCCCCTGCTGATATCCATGAAGTTTTGTCACTTTCCGGTAGAGCACACCATGTTTTGTACAGCTCCCATTGAGTTTGTCCTCGTCCGACCTCCTGCTTCATTTGTTTGGTTTTCCATAAAGTGAAAGCCCATACTTCTGAGTTATTGTCAATTGTTAACGTTGAGTTTGACTTTGTCGAACAAGTTTTTGACTTGTGGGTCTTAAATTCTTCTACGAAGTGGAATACTCCATGGCAATTGCCACACACAAGCACATCTACTTGTCTAAGATCTTGTTGGGCATCTAAAACAGCAAATTAGTAAAAAAAAGAATAAACAACATATAAGCCTATTGTGAGGAACAGGCACACGAAAATTTTAATGTTGGTTTTGAAGATATTATCAAACCTTGTACCAATTCTCTCAATGGACAATGTCTGATACCATAGATGACTCAGAATCCTACCACATTGATAGATTTTATTGAAAATCTCAAAGGATCGATATACACAAATTCAATAAATATGTTGTCAATGAAATAGCTTCTTAAAGGAACAAGAAACACTGCCTCCATTTTTATAAATGTGAGCTGGATCATATCAAGCAAAGAAAAACAGAGAAAAAACTTGCCCTTTGGAATGGATTAGGTTGAAAGAATGAAACTGCTACTTATCATGACAAAGAATGAAAAAATTGCAATAAACATACTCTAAAACAAGAGAAAAACACAGTCAAAAAAAGCAAATCTCAATAAATAATAATGCTGTTAAAAAGAAAATCAGGCACTGTTCATGAATGAAATTCTCCCAGTTTTTGCCACTTTTAGCACCTTTTGATTGTGAAAGGTTGAAAATTTTACTTATTGTGTTTCAGAAATAGAAAAATTGTGTTGGGTACACTCTAAAACAAGCAATCTGAATGTGAGATCTATAATCAATTCACACTATTCAATTTTTTAAAAGATCTTATTGGATATATTTTATTAGATGGCTTAACAAATACACTGAGTCTGTTATTCTACAAGCATTTGACTGCATGTGTTGATTTAAAAGGTTGATATCACCAGAACACAACTCTATCATTTAGATTTACATTTTTGCCAAAAGCAGTCTTGAAGCCTATTAGACCTGAACATAGAAAGGTTGAAATCATACACATATATAGTTAAAACAAATTATTTACTCACTTTTAATCATTAGTGGATCCTGCAACACATCATCAGCTGCCAACATCTCTTCCAAATCAGAATCCTTCATTATTGGAGTTGGCTTGCTCTGAGTATTCACTTTACTTTCAGGAACATTAACTTCCTCAAGCTTTTCAGTCACAGGTTGATTCTGATCCGGTTCTGGTTCTGGCTGGACAGACTCCTCATGCATCCTTTCCAGCTCTTCTTCCAGTGAATAGACAGGTTCCTTTTGAACTTCCTTCATCTCCTCTACAGGGGCGGCAACAATATCTTCTTTGGGAGAATCTACAACAGGCTCTTCCTTTTCCTCTGGTTTTTCATCTAAGTTCATATCTTCTGTTGAGATTTCATTGGGTTCCTCAGGTAGGACAAGTGAGGGCATTGACAGGTCAGAATCAGCAGCGTTGCTGGTTTGTTCATCATTCGTTTGTGTTTCAGAGGTTGGATTATCTGTGGTAAATGAGTCTACAAAGTAAGGGGTATTAGGAGATGGTTTATGTGTTCCTGCTTTAAGAAAAAATGTACACACACTGGAAAAACTTTGACAAAAAAGTTAAAAAGGTTGAACATGAGGTTGTGCCTATGCAAAGATGTAGAAGAGTACAACGAAAACAAGCTATAACTTGGCAGCAGATAAGCTGAAGATGAAATTGTGTAAAAATCAACTTTGTAAGTACTTATAAAACTAATAAAAACACTAAGGCACTTAATTACAAAGCATTATATGCAAACAAATATAGACAATAACCTAACAAAATACTATTTAAGTCAGTTTGATCTAATGAGAGAAGCGAATAAATTATTTTTTTAACAAAACGATGATGGAGGCCTGATGATTAACACATGGAATACAAACAGTAAAGATATAGTTAATGCTAAAGACACATTTTTAAAACCAGAAGTTGGACAAATCAGAAAAATACTGGATCAGCTAGGACAAAAAAGAGAGTGACCTAAAGAGAGATCTAAAACAGAATGGAACGAACAAGTGGAATAATTTCCTAGAACATTAACAAGAAAAACTGAAAACAACTATTAATGAATAAGAACATTCAAGCGTGTGTAACATAAAAAGAAAAATTATGTGAACATACCGCAACTGACTTTTATAATAGCATGGACAGCTTGTTCATCATTAGTTTGTAGTTCAGAGGGTAGATTTTCTGTAGTAAAAGACTCTAGAGAGTTAGACTCCAGATTTAAAAAAAGTAAATAAACACTGACAAAATTTAATTTAATTTAAAGGATGTTACTTATCAGACCTAGTACTTAACAGCATAAAATAATAAAAGCACTAAAAATCTACTTTATGAACAGTTCAACTTAGCTACAAAGCATTCTAGGCAAACAATCATAATATGCAATTACCCAACAAAATATTGTAAGGTAGTTTGACCCAGTGAAAACAAATAGGTACATTAGAGACCACAAGATAACATGAAATGACTGAAACCTGTTAATAAATCATGGAACACACTAAACAAAGAAACAGCTAATGCTAGAGACAGGTTTTAAAAAAAGTCCAGGCAAATCATTTAAATATTGAATCAACTAAGGCAAAAAAAGATCTAAAACAGGATGGAAAGAACAAGTAGAACAATACACACAAGAATACCAAACTAAACACAAATAATAAGGGAAAACAAAAAGATTCTAAGGGTAACATAAAAAGAAGAATGATATGGACCTACTCCAATAATAAGAATTTTATAACCAATACAGGAGATATAGCTTAAATTCAAATAGTGTCCTGCCAAAACATACAGAAACAAAAATATTAAAAAGAATAAAGACCTAACAACCACTGCTTTAAATCAATAGGTATATTGGGATTTTATGAAAGTAAACAATACCTAAAAAAGAATCTGTTTCGCTAGTTGTTGCTGCAGCAGATAGGGTAACATCATTTAACTCGGAAATTAGATTATTATCATCGTTCCCATCGGCAGAATCAACGTTTGGTTCAGAAACTTCTGGTGTTTCTGTGTCTTCGCTAATTCCCGCGTTTTCCGTTGGCTCCACTGCCGAAACGTCGGTGTCGGTACGCTCCGTGTCTACCGGGTCCATCTGTATATCCATCCCTTCTTCGTCCAACGACCCGACTACTGGCTCGAGTGTCTCCGCAGTTTGATCGCCATGTTCGGATTTTTCATCCATTGCGTTTTGTGCTTTGATATCAAAACTAGTTTCTCAATTTGACAACTAAAACATATTTATGGATCACCATTGAAGTCCAGTTTAATATATATTTAAAGGATTGTTATAAATAATATTTTAAAAAAATTACCACTTCCACCTAAATCCAAAATATTGCAAAGAAAATATGTTTACCAATATGATATTAATGAATAAAAAATCTCAAAAAATATCGCACTATAACGAAATAACCCTAAAATATTCCAGTTTTTAAAGGTTTAAATAAAAGTACTCAAAAACTATCCTTTGTAATGACATTTTATTATACTCATCAAGAATTGGCTGCAACGAAAAAACACATTTATATTGTATATTCCTTCCTGATAACACTTTCCTGTGTTCCTAAAAATGTTTCTTAAACATTACTTTTAATAATTATTCAAAAACCGCAATTGAATGACGGACTAGAATAATTTTTCTGAATACCCCAATAATTGTCAGTGGCTGATGAATCGTATAATATGGCAAAAATACTATATTTTTCCGAAAAAACATTGTTTCGAATACACCCTGTTATAGGGTCAATTTTGAAATTGTGGAATATTGGATTCATAAGGAAGAGGGATCTGAGTAAATACAAATTTTATAGAAAATATTCTATTTTCTATGAATTCTTTTGCTTACATATCACATAAAATTAACATGACACATCACTGTAAAATTTGTTGATATAAAAACTGCAACGTTATTGGTGAAAAATATTTGGAATCCTTGAGAAGTTTTTCTGCCTGCATCAAAAGCCTTACCTTGAATCATGCAATATCAAAACTTATTTCTATGTTTGACGTATTATAAATTCATTTGTGTATTTATTTAATCACAATAGTTTTTACTTAGATAGTGGAAAAATGAGTAATTATACAATTTTTTCGTCAAAAAATATAATATTACACTTTATTTCCTTTGCAATAAAACTGTGGCCCTGTGGCTAGTGACTACTATACAAAATGGCTGTGTGACACGGTGTGCTAAATCGAACACATTCCTGACGTGAACTTAATTTTTTTGTAAAAACCTACTACACCTAACAAAAAACTAGCAAATTTAACGTAGTTTGGTACACTTTTAAATAATTAATAGCTAAATTTACCTTGCTTTCTCTATTTTTCACGAAAGTTTCACCACAAGCGTTACAAACATAGCGACGGTGCTGCCACTCACTTAAATGGCAACCGTGCTCGTGTCGCTCTCATTTATCAATCGTTAGTGGCGCCAAATTTGTACGTGGCGTTATTATCTAGATTAAAATAATAATAAAAACAACCTTAACAACCTAATACTCAAAAGTATTACTTACATTAATTTTCCTATTTATTATGTACATATCTTCTTCATATTTTTACACTTTGTTAGTGACACAAAAGGTCAAAATTAATCAAAATCCTATTCTCTGCAGGGGATAATTTCAAATTAATATGGCGGAAACCAAAACCGTCAAATTTAGAAAAATACTTCCCCTACATTGATTTGTTTAGTTTTATTCAAAATCGTATTTTATACAATAGCTTTATAAAATTTAGAATGACAATAAAATTACATATGAAAGTGAATTTAATGCTAATGATTTTTTATTAATTTTATTATTTTATAAAGTTATTAATTTTGTTATTGTACATATCGATTTTGACTTAAGATTAAAATATTTTTGGATATTTTCTATACTAGACAATTTCAATTAGTGTAATTCAAAAATAATAATTAATTCTTGAGAAAATTATGATTTAATTGTTTGATGATAAAACTACATAACCTCTATAACTTCTAAAGGAATGGTAAAGGATGAGAAGGAATACCCTTAAGTAAAAAGTATTTAACAATAATTAAAACATATCGATAAGAAAATGGGAGATGACGAGGATGGTAAAGAGTATCGGTGGGAGACTGGATATGAAAAGACATGGTAAATATCAAAATTGTGTAATTTACCATTTTATTTAGAATTTTTTTGTTTCTTCAAAGGGAAGCTATTAAAGAAGACGATGAAGGATTTTTACAAGCCAGTGTAGCCGATATCGTCCAAAGGGCAAAAAGAAAACGGCAAGCCCTAAAACATGGAAGCCAAAAGTTGGGGATGATGAGACATTTATTCTTGCTGTTGGATTGTTCTGAAGCAATGGCCAGTCAAGATCTCAAACCAACAAGGCTTATATGCACCTTAAAGGTAAGATTCAAATTTATTGTATCACCTGTGACTTATACAAAATAAACAATTTTTACTTGCAGCTCTTAGAAATATTCTTGGAAGAATTTTTCGACCAGAATCCTATAAGTCAACTAGGAATTATACTTATGCAAAATAAACGAGCAGAGAGGATCAGTGAACTAGCTGGGAATTGTAGGAAACATATAAAAATGCTCAGTACTTTAAACAGAACCAGCTTACAAGGTGAACCATCTCTTCAAAATGGTTTGGAAATGGCTTTATCTTCATTGAAGCTACTCCCTTCTCATGCCAGTAGAGAAATCTTGGTTATAATGGGTAGCTTAACTACTTGTGATCCTGGAGATATTACTAAAAGTATTGAAGTAAGTTTAAATTTGTCAATATTATTTGTCTTATACCTTCTGAAATAAAATCATGAGCATATGATCAAATTTTCATCTTGAGTTTGTTTTTATTATAGAATTTGAAGCAAGAAGGTGTTAGGTGTTCAGTGATAGGTTTGGCAGCTGAAGTACATGTGTGTAGACAACTGGCAAATCAAACCAATGGAATTTACAATGTAATTCTTGATGATAATCATTTTAAAGATTTACTACTCCAGCAGGTAGATCCGCCTCCTGCTGCATTGTGCCTTGAGTCAAGCTTGATCAAAATGGGATTTCCTCATCAACTGAATAATGAAGGGTCTGATGAACCTCTAACTATGTGCATGTGGTATGGTATTAATTATTTTATTTTCTAACAAATAATAATAAAAATATTTTACAACTTATTTTTGGTTATGATTTTAGTCATGTAGACAGTATAGAAGATGGTAGTAAACTAACAACAGGAGGTTATTATTGTCCTCAGTGCTTCAGCAAATACTGTGAACTTCCTGTTGAATGTAGAGCCTGTGGGTTGACATTAGTATCAGCTCCACATCTAGCAAGGTCCTATCACCATCTTTTTCCAGCTGCCAATTACATAGAAGTAGATTTTGCTAACCAGGCAACAATTTGTGCTGCTTGTCAGAGATCATTTGGAGAAACAGACAAACAGGTTGGTTTAATTGATTTATAGATCTTTTTTGAACTACTAAGCAATTGTAAATATATGAATGCAATGTTTTTGTTTTAGGTGTACAGCTGTCCAAATTGTAAACGAATATTCTGCATAGATTGTGATATATTTGTTCATGAAACTTTACATACTTGTCCTGGGTGTGCTACAAACCCTCTAAAGTTTCAAATAGCCCTTACTAACTAATTTTTTCATTACAAAGACACTTTTATATAAAAATGAGGATAAGAAGATGTGGTCAGTAAAATATGATGAATTATCTAGCATTAAACAAATGTGAAAGTAGAATCAATATAAATTGTACTTTTTATTAATTATTATAATTATATAAAACATATTTTTATTTCTAGAATTTCTTTTGTCAGTATGAAATTGAGTTATTGTTTGTTCAATCTTGTAAATTTATTTTGAATAAATTATTTAAAAATTATTTTACCTGTGCATATGAAACAAAGATAACAGCATAGGATGTGTGTAGGCATGTATGTATTCTTTTTTTGTTGCTGCCACATCCATATTAAAGACAATTAACATCCTTTCACATAAAAAGTGTTTGTTTTTGTGGTATGTTTTTTAAACATCTTTTTCTCTGCTTTATATCTCTCAATACTATCATGGAAACTAAGGATACAAAGGGCAAGTGATTCTGTTGCTCTATTAACTATGTTATTATTGAATTTTTCCCGGCTTTCCTTGATTTTCTAATATTTCATTCCTAGCAATCTTCTCTGATATTCTTTTTATACATAATTATTTTGTGGATTCTGTATTTAGTTCTTCGGCTATAAGTATTTCATAATGGTTCTTATTTTACATAATACCAAGTTATGTACACCTGCTCGCTACCTACATCTGCATTTTTAGGGCATCTTATGTAGATTATTTTCGATGGATATATATATATATATATATATATATATATATATATATATATATATATATATATATATATATATATATATATATATATATATATGAAAATCCAGAATAGTCATAATCAGATGATTGACATCTGTATTTCTTGCAGCCAATTATGGTGAAGTGATGATAAACTTCTGCAAGAATAACGAAATTAGAATCCATAACACATTTTTTGACCACAAAGACCAACACAATTTGAAATCGATTTTCAATTTGCAAAAAAGGAAGGAAAAAAACTAGATTTTATTTGTGTAAATAATTTACTAGCGTTAATAGACAACAAAATAAATATAAATCATCACAACATAAAAACTATTATTATTTTAGATTAATCATTGTGTTATAAAAAAAGTTCTAAAATGTCATCGAGGAATTTGCTTGTCCAAAAGACAATTTTATAATACAAGTATAGTTAAAAATTTATGGACAGGAATATAATGTGATAATATTACTTTACATAGAAGATTTATTATGATTTTAATTGTGATTTTTCTCACTCGTAAATGTACAGTGTGATTTACAAAGAATGGGTAGTAGTTTACCTTCAAAGAATCATTGTTGGCAGCTATCAACATTGATTGTAGCTAACAGAAATGGCTGTGTAGAAAACAAAGCATGTAACAAGCAGATGATGAGCAACAAATACACTGACCAGATAAACAAAAATTTAAACATACTAACCGAGTGGATCAGTAGGACCGAAAAAAGATAAGCCCATTAAATGATGGAAATTTGTACCTCAGTGTCACATATTCATTTATTCTTACTGGAAGAAGAGAGAAACAAAGAGCCTATAGGGAATATGGTCTGTGTGCTAAAATGTCACTGTAGTTCTATGAAGGAAAAACCAAACGGGATGATGCACTCCGGGAGTGAACGAGAAGGGGAAGCATAGCTATCTTATCGTCTACACATGGAGCAATGGTTTTAATTTAATTTATTTGATTTGATTTAAACAGTCATTACTGTCGGTTTTATTATTATATAAGAAAGCTGTGCTTCCAAAAGAAAACAAAATGTGTTGTAGATGTCTATTAATTAAAGTCTTACACTGCAAATCTTGAGAACAAATAAATAAGTCCGACAAGGAATGGATAAAAAAGACTGATTATATCTGAAACACCTTCAAAATGAAAAATTCTCACCCCTAGTAATAAAAGAAAAATTAGAATGGAAGCATATACAAAATACCTTTCACAACTTCACTGAAAACTGAAAAGCACAACCAAAATAAAGAACTTCACGCATATTCTTTCTTTAATTAATTTAATTAGTAATTTAAAAAATTATTTATTTTTAAGAGCCTTAATTCTAGCATCTAAGCTAACTACCGTAGCATTGATTTCATTCAGATTCACCGCAAAACTTTCTTGAACGCCCTGCAAAAGCATCTTGTTGTTCTGCACATTGCTCATCATTTCTGCCTGTGTTACTTCTATTTGGGTCAAGGTCTTAGCAAAATCGGCAGCTGAAACAATAATTAAAGAAAGAAATATTTATTTCCTACACATAATACATCTATAATATACACTTAAGGCTTCTCTCCCACATATTTTCTAAATCTTTTTGATGTGAAGTAATCATTAACAATTAATATTGTTCTGAAGCTATTTTCTTGTGGCATTGTAAATTAATTACTATTTATAACTGGGAATAAGCCACATTAAAGATAAAAAAACATTTATTGACGTTTCAATTTCCAATTCGGAAATCGTTCTCAAAATACAAATAGTAAATTAAACAAATTTTGTTTTTTGTTACATAGTGAAAAAATTCTTCTGATAATTTAATTTTATCTGACTCATTTATATTGACAATTCAGACATAGATTATGCATTTTAAAGTAGACGACTTTAAAATGATATTGCCAATATTGTTGAGTTGCGCTCCTGGGACGACTTTACTTATAAGATAGTTCATTCGATTACATGAAATCAACTTTAACTTGAGAATATCCGTCAGAAAAAATCATAGCATGTAATTCGTCTTTAAAAAGACAAACACATGACATGATGACAGTAAAATTCTCCTGTTAGTGATTCCATAGTAAATTATGAGGGAAAAACCAGGAAAAAAAAACCTCATAATACTATCCCGACATTGTAAGTATTTGTTCGTGAATTTAGTTTACCTTCAACAAACATCAAAATTCTGATTTTATGTTACGTTATTTAAAAAACATAAATGATGTATCCTCTATATGTTACTGACTTACTAATACTGGTATTTTCTTATTAATAACTTCCTCTTTCAATATTGGTAACCAGATCCTACTACATTCTGCCGAGGAATTTGCTACACAATTGGCCTCATTTAGCATAATTAGAGCCGCTTCTTTGATTTTTCTTTTTTTACCATCCGTTTCTTTTAGGACTATATTTGAATTATTCCATTGAACTCTATGTTCATTATCCCATGCGTGTTTACATATTTGAGATCTATCAAATTCTCTATTTTTAATATAAGATTGATGTTCACTTATTCTAACATTTAATGGCCTTGATGATTCACCTAAATAAAACTGATCGCATTCACAAGGTATTTTATAAATGCAATTCTTTGTCCTTTCTTGTTCATTGTTAGGTTTGGTTTTGGACAAAATAGATCTCAACGTGTTTGTTGTTTTGAATGTTGTTGAAATGTTGAATTTATTTCCTATCCTTTTAAGTTTTTCTGATAATCCTTTTATGTACGGTATTGTTATTTTCCTCATATTATTCCTTGTGTATGCTGTAGGATCTCGTTCTAAGTTGTTCTGTTCTATTCGATCGATTGTTGAAAATTCCTTATTTATAATATTATATTATATATTTATCTATTTTGTCCAAAACCAAACCTAACAATGAACAAGAAAGGACAAAGAATTGCATTTATAAAATACCTTGTGAATGCGATCAGTTTTATTTAGGTGAATCATCAAGGCCATTAAATGTTAGAATAAGTGAACATCAATCTTATATTAAAAATAGAGAATTTGATAGATCTCAAATATGTAAACACGCATGGGATAATGAACATAGAGTTCAATGGAATAATTCAAATATAGTCCTAAAAGAAACGGATGGTAAAAAAAGAAAAATCAAAGAAGCGGCTCTAATTATGCTAAATGAGGCCAATTGTGTAGCAAATTCCTCAGCAGAATGTAGTAGGATCTGGTTACCAATATTGAAAGAGGAAGTTATTAATAAGAAAATACCAGTATTAGTAAGTCAGTAACATATAGAGGATACATCATTTATGTTTTTTAAATAACGTAACATAAAATCAGAATTTTGATGTTTGTTGAAGGTAAACTAAATTCACGAACAAATACTTACAATGTCGGGATAGTATTATGAGGTTTTTTTCCTGGTTTTTCCCTCATAATTTACTATGGAATCACTAACAGGAGAATTTTACTGTCATCATGTCATGTGTTTGTCTTTTTAAAGACGAATTACATGCTATGATTTTTTCTGACGGATATTCTCAAGTTAAAGTTGATTTCATGTAATCGAATGAACTATCTTATAAGTAAAGTCGTCCCAGGAGCGCAACTCAACAATATTGGCAATATCATTTTAAAGTCGTCTACTTTAAAATGCATAATCTATGTCTGAATTGTCAATATAAATGAGTCAGATAAAATTAAATTATCAGAAGAATTTTTTCACTATGTAACAAAAAACAAAATTTGTTTAATTTACTATTTGTATTTTGAGAACGATTTCCGAATTGGAAATTGAAACGTCAATAAATGTTTTTTTATCTTTAATGTGGCTTATTCCCAGTTATAAATAGTAATTAATTTCATTAACAATTAGTAGTGACATTTTCCAAATATTAATGTTATCAATATTTTGGCAACAAGTAATTGATTTAAAAGCACTTTCTCACCTTTATTATGTAACTGCTCCAAAGATTTAAGTCGTTCTATAGTCTGTGGAAGCAACTGTGTAATACCTTCTGTATTTTTGACCAAATCATAGAGTTCCAAAATCTACAAAAACAAATAATCATTAATATGCCAGCAAATAGTAGTGATAAATTTAGAATACATACTTATAACAATAATAAAAATTAATAATGTTCATTATTCAGTATTATAAATGCTGTTTTTTGTGATTTGCAATATTTATTGAATATTTTGGCTTACAAATAGGATACACCATGATTTTTACCTACAAAATAGCAATTCACACTGTTCACTTATGTTTTTAAAGTGTATCTACATATTTCTTAAATTATTCACATACATACCATCCTGTCTTTTTCTTCGTCTGGCTGTACTTCTTTCTTTTTTTCTGCAATACTCTCCAGCTTTTGTGCCAGAGCTCCTAGTCTGCCTTCAATGTGATCCAATTGAGCGGAGTCTAAAAGACTTGCTGTAGCACTTAAGTGTTCAGCCCATTCATATAAACTACCTAAAATCAATATAAATAAGAAATATAATATAAGAAAGTGCTGTTAATTAAATGCCAAGAGGTTGGCAATTAACAGTTTTTTTTTGTTTATATAATTAATTTGCCCAAAAGTATTTGGTGATCTACATGATCAAATGCTTTGGAAAAATCTGTGTATATTGCATATATTTGTTTACTGTCTTCCATATGAGATAATATATCAGATTTATAGAAAACCAAGTTTGTTGCAGTGGATTTGTTGCTATGAAAACCATGTTGTGATTGAGATATTAAGCCTTTACATAACCAAGAAAGTTGCTTTGCTATAAGACTATTTTTAATGACTTTATAGAAAAAATTAGCAAATTTGTGTTAAGGTCTGTGTGAATGTAAGTCCTATCACCTTTTCTGACTTGACATACTTTTGAAATTTATTAAGAATAACTAAAGAGTTCTACATGATTTTTTATGAAAAAACCAAAAACAAAAAAGGGGACTATCAAAAGGGCACTACCTAGCATCTTCGTTATTAATATAACTAATATTGAGATACTAATACAGAGCGATGAAAGTGCTGGGATTTATCCAACGCACATCTGTGGATCTGTCTTTATTTACATTTAAAAGACTTTATTGTGGTCTCGTTAGGCCCATTCTTGAGTTTGGATCAGTTGTATGGTCCCCATCATACCACTGTTACATTCAACAGATTGAAAGAGTCCAGAATAAATTTTTGAGGGTAGCAGCCTATAAGAGTGGATATAGGAGAGAGGAATACGACTATCAGTGGGTAAGAGATAGTCTTAACTTACCAACTCTTGAGTCAAGGAGGACATTGTTGGATTTATGTTTCTTACACAAAGTTATCAATGCTTTTATAGATTGTCCTCAACTCTTATCGCTTGTTAGTCTTAAAGTTCCTAGTAGAAGCAACAGACAATCAGAAATCTTTTCGGTGCCATTTCACCACACTAATTATGGTACCAATGAACCAACTACACGATTGGTCCGGAGTGCTAATAGCTTGCCAAGACAAATAGATATTTTTGACTCCAAAATTAGTTTGTTTAAAAAACAACTAAAAAATATCTTACAATAAGTTGGTTATACATCTGTATTATTCTTATATGTTTGTATTATTCTGAGGTGTTTGTTATTTTAATAATTTATTGTTGTTAAGGTGTAACTTTTTAAAACTTGTGATTGTTATTTTAATAATATATTGTTTTTAAGATGTAACTTTGTAAAAATTGTAAGTAAATGGATGCCGTATATAAATAAATAAATAATATATTAATGATACTATATAATAAATATATATGTAGTTGTATTAAAAAAAATAAACAACTGATTGAAGCCTAACATGTGAGATAGCAAATGTGATATACCGAATATATTATGATTATGAAAAAAAAAAAACAGGGCAATTACCAAAAGGGCACTATGCAGCATCTTTGTTATTAACATATAGTAGAGCTGGAATGAGATAGACAACTGGAGTGATAATATGTTCACTATAAGACAAATTTTGATTTATTAACTTAAAGAAGGTCTCTGACTGAGTACAAATAAAACAACTAGCTGAATCCTAGCATATGACACATCAAATGAAATGATGTGAGACATACAGTACATATAATTTTTATAGAGTGCCATTAATTACATGTAAATATAATATATATTATTCTTAAATTATATAAAATTAATATCAGTTTTTAACATTGACAACATGCATTTTTGAATATTCAAATAATCAAATGTTCAAATTTCACTGTAAGGGTCATAAAGATCTGTAGTGAGTTCAATGATTTTTCAACATAATTTTGTTTCAGTGCAAATTTAAGAAGTTTTCACTTATGTCAACACTCCCCTGAGTGCAATATCTTCTGGTTTTTTTAAGGCAAAATGTGAAGAAAATTAAATTATGTAAGCTTGGCATACTTTTACAATTTACTTACTATTCTTTGTTTCAAGTTAAGAAAATAACATTACGCTTATGGAGATCAGTGTTGCCAAAACTCTCAGACACTCTCTTTTGCACGGATGTCCAAGATATTCCCTTTGCTTAATTTTTGAATTTTCATTTTCAATTAACATTTAACTGTAAAGTCAGAATAACTACTAAATAAAAGCCTTATTATCATTATGTAGTCAGAGAACGACATAAAATAGCTGACATACGCACATCGTATTATTTTAAGTTGCAATTAGTAATTAGATATACGCATTCCAAGCGGTCAATATTTTCTACTGATTTATTTATTTATTTATATACGGCATCCATTTACTTACAATTTTTACAAAGTTACATCTTAAAAACAATATATTATTAAAATAACAATCACAAGTTTTAACAAACACCTCAGAATAATACAAACATAAGAATAATACAGATGTACAACCAACTTATTGTAAGATATTTTTTAGTTGTTTTTTAAACAAACTAATTTTGGAGTCAAAAATATCTATTTGTCTTGGCAAGCTATTAGCACTCCGGACCAATCGTGTAGTTGGTTCATTGATACCATAATTAGTGTGGTGAAATGGCACCGAAAAGATTTCTGATTGTCTGTTGCTTCTACTAGGAACTTTAAGACTAACAAGCGATAAGAGTTGAGGACAATCTATAAAAGCATTGATAACTTTGTGTAAGAAACATAAATCCAACAATGTCCTCCTTGACTCCAGTGTTGGTAAGTTAAGACTATCTCTTACCCACTGATAGTCGTATTCCTCTCTCCTGTATCCACTCTTATAGGCTGCTACCCTCAAAAATTTATTCTGGACTCTTTCAATCTGTTGAATGTAACAGTGGTATGATGGGGACCATACAACTGATCCAAACTCAAGAATGGGCCTAACGAGACCACAATAAAGTCTTTTAAATGTAAATAAAGACAGATCCACAGATGTGCGTTGGATAAATCCCAGCACTTTCATCGCTCTGTTTGTTACTTGGTTAATGTGGCTTGAGAATGACTGTTTGGTGTCTAACCAAATTCCCAAATCTAATACTTCATTTTTCGTGGAAACAAAAATACAAATTATACAACCCTAAATTGTGCTTGTGTGTGTCATGGCAATGCCGCGTTGCTATCGTCTATAAGAAATACATGGCCCTATCTCCTCAATGTTATTTTCTAAACGTGGAACGTAGTATAGCTTACCAGAAGAAGTATTCTTCCTACATATATAACTTGATATTTGCACAAAATCTTACTGGAACATAAATTGTTGACTAACTACTACTAAAAAAGACAAAAATCACTTACCTTTAGAGTTTCCAGCTGTCAATCTAGATAACTTATCACTAGGTGATCCTACAACATTTTCCACTCTGTGAAGTCTGGCCTCTAAGTCTGCTAGTCTTGTTGACTGTGCCAATTTAGCTTGTTCTGGTCTATAGTTGAACTGGTAAACTATGCCAGAACCATCACCTTTCAATTCCGATTCTGGTTTTTCATTAATAGTTGCCTTGAATTTTTCTAACTGGGATAAAAGTTTCCTAAAACATTACAAATTTACAATAAAAACATGGCTCTACAGGCAATTCTTCATGGTTTTCAGTTTTTCATATACTATGTTATCACATTTTGCTTACTGAATTTGTGTGCCTTGTGGATCAGATATTTTCTGAATGATCCCTTCACCCAAAGTTTCTTCTAACTTCAAGTCAGCTAGTTGTTTTAAAGATTGCTCCACTTTTTGACTAGACACCAGACAATTCTCTTGGTTTTCTTTAGGGTTGTTTTTGAGATTATTAACTTCTTCCAGAACCTCTTTCAGTTCACACTGTAACCTGAAAAGTATTCAAGTACTATTATATAAAACAAAAACGTTCACAATTATATCGAACCTATTGTACTTTTGTATTAAGGTTTCATCTTCACCAGATCCCACTAGCTCCCAATTACCACTTCTAGCATCATAGCCTGCTCTATGTTTTCTGCTTACTTTTGAAGAAAAGTCAACATTTTCTGATCCTAGATATTTTCCTTTAAATTTATTAAAGGCGTCGTCGGCTGAAATATGAATTCTTTCAATGGGATCATTTTCCTCCTCAAAGGCATCGACTGATTGCTCTGATTCGGGAAGATCAGATGTTTCGTAGACATCAGGCTCATCGTGGGCCTATGAAAGTAGATATAAATTTCAGTACTCACTCAAATTTTATTATAAAAAACTTGTATGGTATAATCGAATACTCTGTTTAATTACCAGATGTTAAATTTAATTATGATCTACTTACTATTCCAGGCAAGTCAGCATATTTTGGATTTGCCATTTTATGAATTCGGAATGTAACAGTAAAACAGTTTAGATGTGGAACAAATAAATTATAAAATATCCAGAAAATTGAATAATTACAAAATGATGACAAATCTTCCTCTGACAGAAAAAATGTCAAAAGCAGAAGAACACTTGTCACTTTCTTCTGTTTCTGTTTAATTAAGCCCAATTTCATATATCATCTAGCCATATTTTACCGTATGTGATGTGAAAGTTAACCAAACTTTAATCCAATAAAAAACAAATACTAAAAATTTGGTATTTGTAAAAACAAATACTAAAAATAATGGAAAATTACAAAAAGGGAAAAAATATCGAAGAACCTTTAGAAAGAAATAAAATACCTATACCAAAACTTCCAGAGAATTTTCTGTGGATGCAGGTAATTTTGAAGTAGATGATTTATATATCTCACAATATAAAATTATTGTTTTTTAGGTACGAGGAGGTAGCAAAATCAGAAATCTTCTAACACACGCCATAAATGAATTCCCTGAAGCAAAACATGTTGTATGGACGGGCTTTGGATCATCTGTAGGGAAATGCATAACCTGTGCCGAAATTATGAAAAGAGAATTCAATAACACTTTACATCAAATAACAAAAATATGTTACAGGCTGTATGTTTTTGTAAACAGTGTGTGGATAATTTTCTGATAAATTCTGTTTTAGTGTTGAAGAATACTGGGATCCTCTACTGCCAGAACTTGATCAAATAGTTGTAAAGCGAAGACTGCCAATGATCCATATCTATTTGTCTTCTGAGAGCATAGATACAGAAGAATTAGGGTAAATGTGGAAACTTTCAATTTATTTCAGTTAGTTTTGATATGAGAACAACATTAAATGAATTAATTTTTATCTGTGTGCTACAAAAACTGTATTTTTTCATTTTAGATATCAAGCTCCTGGGCAAATATTATTTTTCAACAGTCAGACTAAGGGTAATAAACAAAAACCGAAGAATAATGATGAAAAACAGTATACAAAAAGAAATCAAAAGAAAAATAGGGACAAAAAACCAAAAAATGGCTCCACCACAAATGGTTCTAGCAGTAGCAATGTAGTCAATACATCAGAACATACCTAGTACATGTTTTTTTTTTATATATTGAATGTAAATAAATTACTTTTTTAAATAAAACAAATGTTGTACTTAAATTAATATACTTATATTTTATTACAAACATTTCAAATTTTAGTATCAAAAGTGGGTGGGGGTGGTGGAGGTCCTCTCGGTGGGAAAGCTGGTCTATTTCCGGCAAAACCTGGTGGTGGTGGGGGAGGTGGCCTCCAGTTAGGTGGTGGTGGTCTTCCTCCAGGGGGTGGAGGAGGTGGGAACATTCCTCCAAATGAAGCACTTCCAGCGGGAGTAGGTGGACCTGGAGGAATGGGCATGCTCCCAGGAGCTGCACCTGTCCATGTTGGAGGTGGGGGTATCAGTCCATGAGGTGCCACTGGTGGAGGTGGTAGAGGTGGCCTGGCTTGGGCTCCTGCTGCAGTTGGCATTGTTGGAGGAGCACCAGGCGGTAAAGGTGGTTGTGAGGGAGGTAATGGAGGAGGTGGTATTCCTGGTGGGAAAGAACTTGGTGGTGGTACAGGTGGAGGAGGTGGTGGCAAGTTTGATAGTGTTGGAGGTGGTGGGGGCATCATTCCTGTCATTATGACTGGTGGAGGTGGTGGGGCCATTGACATGGGCATCAAACCTACAAAGCAAATAATTATTTTAATTTTAAAACACAAATACACATTCCTTGCTAACTTAACATATGACCTCAATAAGCAAAAACATCAAATTAATAATGAATATACCTATTGGAGGTGCATCAGCAAACAGTTGATGGGGCCTATCAGCCTGTGATAATGGATTCTGAGCAGCAAGAAGACGTTCAGCTGCAGATCCATGTCTCTCTCCTTTGGAGTCTTTCTTAAATGCATACGATACTGATATGGGTCTATTGCACAAATATTGGCCATTCATGGCTTCAATAGAGGCATCTGATGCTTCAAAGCTTGCAAAATTGATGAAGGCGAACCCTTTGGAGTTACCAGTATCAGGATCTCTCATAATCTACAAAATACACAAATTATTAGTTGAATATTTTAAGATTTATATTGTATATGTATACCTTAGGTGTTTGTAATATTACTCCGAACGCCGAAAAAGTATCGTAAAGTAACTTTTCGTCCACTTCTGGGTCTAAATTTCCAATAAAAATATTAGCTCCTACATCCAAATTTTTCTGATGAGCCGAAGCTTTGTTTACTCTTATAGGCTTCCCATACAATTTTATCATGTTCATAATTTTAATAGCATAATCTGCATCCTCCTCTCCCATAAATTCTACAAATCCATAGCCCTGGTGCATCGTCGTTACTCGATCTTTGGGCATATGTACATTGACTACAACATTAAGAGGTTAGATCACAAATTTGACAATATTTTGTAACTTACCTAAAGGCCCTGCTTGTACAAAGAGCTCCCACAATAAGGACTCCGAAACTTTATCATCTAGGCCTCCCACATAAATAGTGGCATCTAAAAGCAAGGTTCTTGTTAAGATTTGCCGAAAAAACATGTTTATATTAAAAACTTACCCCGATTTCGTTCTGCTATAGGTCCGTTGGCCATTGTATCAAGATATAGTGGCAGGCAACGATTGTAGGTATTTTTTTTAACTAGATAATATAAATTAAATTTATTGTCTAAAATATAAACTCATTTTTAAACCCAAACAATCGTGTCCGCCATGATGTCAATGTCAATTTGTTAATATGTCAATGTCAATTTCATGCACAGTATATACCACAAATAGTAGTGTAAGTGGTACAGTACAAATGGGGAGAGTGAGTTGCATAGGTCCAGCCGTTCATGATGGTGACGGCGCTACTAGTCACGTTGACAAAGCAAGAGGCGTATGACGTTGATGTAAGTGCTGTTGCCATGGTTTCACTAGGTTTGCATAGTAACTGTTACTCAAATAATGATTATACATCAGAGTGTAGCAAATTCTACTAAAATGCCAACTTAAATTTACAATTACTTTTCGTATACATATATGTAACATCTAAAAAAATTTGAGTATCCACTGCAAAAAAGTGTTGGTGGCAACATTGTACCTAAAATTCAGAATCTATGTTTTAAATTTGCCGCCAAATGAAATTAGTTTCGGCCCGTCCGCTTTTGGCGCTAGAAACTCTCCGAAATCTTACTAAGGGACTTACGGTACTAGAGGGCTATGTACTGTGAATTCATGTGTCAATTTCAACATTTTAACTTGAACAGATGAAAAATTTAAAAAGTTTTTCAATTTAATTTTCTGTTTAATGAATTTTTAATTATTAATATGTAATGGAATAAATTACTATTTTTATCGATTATTCTTGTAGACTCCAGATTCGTTATACCTACATAATTTTAAATTGATCATTGAAGTTAATTAGAAAATATTGAAAAATGTTTATTCCAACTATATATCCACTAGATTTTCTTATTAGTTTTTGCATTTATGTTGTACTGTTATTTAATAATTATTAAGTAGAAAACGTTGCATAATGTATGTTACTCTATTTGTTACTTATTCTATGTTTTTGAACTTATTAACATTAAATAGGCTCTCTTTTCTTCCATTAAGTTCGTCATTGAAAATCATCCATTTTTTACGTCATACAAAGCTTTTTCAAACTCTGTGTATTAAACATTGTACGAAAATTAAAATACAAGACACAGAATAACAAAACATTTAAAATTTTTATTATTTAATGAGAATTAACGAAGTATATTTTTCTATAACAGTCTTTAGTAGTCCTTGCCGATTACAGAAGTGGATGGTCTGCTGGCAATTTTTTGTTGGGCAAACGAAGCCCACATGTTGGACCAGGGGTTGGCAGGCTGGGCACTCATTCCTGAGGGGTAGAGTCCTTGGTTAGTACCGTAAGCTCCTCTGCAAAATAAAGGTAAAAGTGCTATAAAGAATTATAAGTACTCTTGAAACTGAGAATCAATAATACATTTTTCGACCATAAGTTCCAGTATAAATATACATTTGAAAACTCCAGGGGGCATAAATCTATATAATTGATTTTATAGTCACTAATAGAAAAATCCAGCCAGAGCAGATTCTAGATATCCAAAACTCAGCAGACGCAGGGAGTTAACACAAACTAGTACTAGCAAAAATAAGAATGAAAATAACACCAAAACATTTTCTATAGGAAATAACTGAGGAGGACAACATCTAAGAAAAAACAACAATCTATAAAGCAGCAATTAGATCTATATTTACATATACGGTGGAAACAAGACCTGACACATCTAAAACAAGACGACTACTAGAAACAACAGAGATGAAAATACTTCGACAAATATCAGAGAAAAGTCTGTTGGATGGGGAGAGAAGCGAAAATATGAGAAGAGCATGCAATATAGAAGACATAAATGGATGGGTGACAAAACAGAAGCAGGAGTGGAACGAACACATTAGTAGAATGGCAGAGGATAGGACAGCACGAATAGCACGAGATAAGTCACCAAATGGACGAAAAATATTGGCAAACCAAGAAAAAGATGGTGCAATAATTTAAACAATTTAAGAGGCTAATATTGAAGAAGAAACAGGCTTTAAGCGTACATATAAGTAGGAAGAAGAAGAAAAAAAAAACAACATCCTTTTATTACAAATCACAATAACAATAAAGGACATAACAGCTAAGAAAAAGGATATAAGATCAAGACCTAGAAAAACCAAAATCCTTTAGAAAAAATATTAATACAGAAAGCAAAACTATTGAAATTATAAAAAGAAGGGGAATATTTTTTGATATCAATGCTTAAAATAAAAAGTAAATATGAAACCAAAATGATTTAATTGAGTTCAAATGAAGTAGGTTTACACAAATAAAAAAAAACAGCAAAAACAATGAAGAATTGTTGAAATGTAGCACATCATTCTCCAGACTTTATTGTAAATAATCTTGGTTTGACATAAGAAAGAAGGTTTTTTGCATAAGAAATATAGACTATAATTAAATCTCATACAGGGTGGTGAATCGTCAAACGGGCCATAGGAAACTCAATGGGAAATTCTAAATTGTTGAATTCCTGCTTCCCTAATTATTTTACACCAAAAGTCATGGGAAACTATTTGTAGAGGACTCAAATATGTATCGAAAACAATTGTTAAAATTGTTCTACGACTTAAACGTATTCCAAAATGTTGCTAAAATATAATAAATTTTTCAGGCCACCCCTAAAAGTCAGGCCAGACGTTGTGAAAAAAATGTGTATTACGTGTTGCGTTTTGTCATATCGATGTTTCTAATATTTAACAATATTTAAATCAACTATATTATATTTATCTATTATTTAAATGGCCAATATTTTTATTTTGTGATTTATTGTTTAAAAAAATATTAAGTTGATTAAAAAATGTACTCAGTTGGAGAAAAGAGCAATAATAAAAATGTTTTATTCATGTTTTATTATAACATTTGTTATAGTTTTATGTTTAGAAATTATCATAAATTATTTTTAGGAATAAAGATCACAGTAACAGTATATTGGAATTCATTGAATTGTTGTATAACTTAACTTAACATGGAATTAAATTTTAGTGTATTAGAATATCTTACGTTAAATAAAGATCCGGTAGTTGACAGGAAAAGGTTCGCGCTATTGCCTGAATACAACATTATGCGATTTTTCGTCAACTGAGTACATTTCATTATATTGAATGATTTGTAAACAATATAATTTATTGTTCACAAAGTAATATTGTTCAGTAGTAGTAGTATTTAGTAAAATTCATTGTTTATAGTTTAATTAATTCAAATTGTCAAACATCTGACATCGATATGATAAAACACACACGTTATATATTCTTGTATTACGTGTGGCCTAACTTTTAGCTATTATATTTTTGCAAAATTTTGAAGTACATTTGATTCGTAGAACGGTTTTAACATTTTGTTTTTAATTCAGATTTTAGTCCTCTACAAATAGTTTTTTTATGACTTTTGATCTAAAATAATTAGGGAAGCAGCAATTCAACAATTTAAAATTTCCCATTGAATTTCCTATGGCCCGTTTGACGATTCACCACTCGGTATAAAAATAAATGACAGCAAAAAAAAGAATCTAAAAACCATTCACAATTGTTTGCGACTTATATGAAGTGTAACGCAAAAAGAACATTAGCTTAACTCATTTTGAAGATTTATTTTAACTTACCCGTATCCACCAAGATTGTTGTTGTTGTTGTATCCATATCCGTAAGGGGAGTATGGAGAGTATGGGTACTGTTCAAGTGGTTGGTAATATGAGGGTACTGGGGTCTCTACGGGGTATTCGTATCCAGGATATCTGAGTGGTTGTTGGTTTCCATTCTGCACAGCACCGTTGAAGTCCCTCAAGCTGCGGATGACATCATAGACACCACTGTTAAGTTGACCAGATTTGACATATGAGTCGACTTTGTTTAATAAATCGCCATAGGACTTGGCATCGGTTGCATCTTGATGTTCGCTAAATATTTCTTGTAATAATTGAGCTTGAGTTTTTGGTTTTCCTTCCTTTCCTTTGTACTCTTTGGATCCTTTGTTTTTGCTGTCTTTTCCGTCTTTGCTGCTTCTCTTGGCTCTGTCCTCTTCTTCATTGTTGTAGAGCTCAGACAAGCTTGGTTCGATGAGGTTGATGGTTTTGCTGTTGGTTTCGCCATCTACTGAGATTTTCTTAACTGTTCCGAAAGGTCCACCAACTGTGATTTCGATATCTTTTGGTCCTGTACCACCGATGGCGTTTGAAATGACGATTTTCTTACCATTTTCTCCCAAGATGGTGAGGGTACCGTCGTCGTTGATGGTGACTTGTTTGCCGGTGCCAAAGGTTGTGAGGGCACAGCTGAGTGCGATGACTGAAATAAAAACCAAAGCTGACTTCATCTTGACGAACTAAAGACTGACCTTATGTCTCGCCGGTATTGTCTTTTATATGGTTTGCATTGTTTTTCTTCATGATTAAGGAATATTCTATAATCTCTTGGAAAAGGTTTTCGTGAGGCCATCATCAAAGGTGCACGATTAGACAACAACATGTTTGTAAAGAGATAAGAGCTTAGATAAGTGCTAAAATAAATTATTTATCGGTAATTTTAATTATATTTTACGACATTGGTAACGGATGATTAGTTTAGTCTGATTAAGGTGTCATCATAACCCCCTTTGCAAGTTCAGCTGGGTACAAACTGATAACTGGACTGTTGATAACAACTATTTTAAAAAGGAATTTTTGGTAACGGCTAAAACAATTTTGTAACAAATTAAAATAATAATAATGTTGTGAAAACTTTTGCATAATTGAATTATTTTGTTTAAAAATAAATAATATTACATATTTATTTTGAATTTTGGTGGACTTTTTGAATGGTGGGCGGACGAAATACGAAGGAAAATAAAGAACAAAAAAAGAAAAATGGAAGAGACATCTAGGTACAAAGCGCCCTGAAGATTATGAGGCATATAGAGAAAAAAGAAAAGAGGTTAAAATAGCTGTGAAAGCAGAAAAAGAAAGGTCATGGGAAAAATTTGGACTAAAAATGACAAATAATTATAGGGAAAATCAAAAACTCTTCTATGGCGCATTAAAACAGCTCAGACAAAAAAAAGAACACATGATGCCGAATATAAAAGACAAGAATGGAAAGGTAATAACAGAAGAAAACCAAATAATGAAAAGATGGAGAGGACATTTCAAAGAGCTAACTCATACAGACGTAAACAACATAGTGGATATACAAGAAATAAATAAAGAAAAAAAGTAGAACCATAACAACAAAGGAGAGGAGAAAAGGCAATTGAAAGAGTTAAATTAGGCAAAGCACCAGGCAAGGATCATATCACCTCGGAAATGATAAAATTCATGGGAATAGAGGGTGTGGACAGCATGAAAGAACTAATGAATGCTATCATAAAGAGACCAGAAATACCACAGGACTGGAAAAAATACATTACTACCAATACACCAGAGAAACTGTAATAATTACCGAAGTATTACTATATCAACGATTCCTGGGAAGATATTCGCAAGAATAATAGAAACAAGAATAAAAACCCAAATAGAACCAACTATGGAAGATACACAATGTGGATTCAGGAAGGACAGAAGCACACAGGACCACATATTCACAATAAGACAGGTAAGTGAGAAAGTAATCAATAAAAAACATATATGCTTTATCGATCTGGAAAAGGAGTTTGACAGAATACAAAGAAATGACGTATGGAGGACATTAAAGGAAAGAGGAGTTGACAGGATAATAATTGATGTAATAAAGGATATGTACAATAATAATACAAATACGGTGAGAACCAATAGCGAGGACTCCGAAGAATTTACTACAAGTCAAGGTGTCAAACAGGGATGCGTGTTGAGCCCACTGCTGTTCTCAGTGGTACTGGATGAAGCAATAAAGAAAGCCAAGAAAAGAATGAGAAAACTAACATTAGGATACTGGCAAATGAAACAGACTCAACTATCAGAGCTTCTATTTGCGGACGACATGGTTTTGATAGCAGAAAACAGAGAAGACCTACAGAACAACCTTGAAATCCTAGAAGAAGAACAGTCAAACATAAATATGAAGATAAATATAGAGAAAACAAAAACAATGATAATTTCAAATAAGAGAAAGACACTCAATACAATTAAACGGAAAACAACTAGAACAAGTGGAACATTTTAAATACCTAGGAGTAATAATTGAATCAAACGGTAAACAAGACATGGAAATAAATGAGAGAATGGGACGAACAGGAAGCTTATTTAACACTATGAAAACAACATTTTTGGGGAAAAAACAAATACCGGAGAAGGTAAAAACGGCAGTCGTTAAATCAGTAGTTAGGCCTACAATCATGTATAATAGCGAGTCATGGACATTGACTAGGAGACAAAAATCTCGAGTCAATGCTATGGAAATGAGGTTCCTGAGGAAAATAGCAAACAGAAAGAGGACAGACAAAATACGAAACGAAACAATCAGACAAAACCTAAAACTAGAACCAATAAACGAAAAAATAGTAGAGGGATAACTAAGATGGTTCGTTTAATTGGGGATATTGGCAAAAAAAATTAATGGCAAAGAAGGACAGGATGGATAAAAATAATAATACATTTTTGCTGAGCTAAGAGCTTACTGGATGATAATCATGAATATAATAATATTATTTCTTTTCCAGATATAAAAATACTTTAGCATTTAACATAGAATATTATCATAACAACATAGAATTTAAATAAATTTTCACATAAATCTTTAATATACAATTTACTAAACTCAACGAGTGTTGCATAACTTCAAAAATATTGTCAACAACAAGACTCAAGGGCCACAGTATATACTACAAATAGTAGTGTATGTGCTATAGAACAGGTGAGGAGAGTAAATTGCATGGGCCCAGCCGTGCATAATGGCCATGGCGCTACTAGTCATGTTAGGTCACAGAATTATTATTCTGTGGTTAGGTTCTGTGGTTAGGTCATAGCACATCAAGGTTAATAAAAGACAGGTTGCATGGTAACTATGACATTGATAGAATGAGATATGTCTCCTTGGCGTCACGCATGGGGTCAATTTTACGAATTGATTGAATAGGTTTGGAGTGGTTTGGAGAAAATATTTCATTATTAGATATCAGTAGTGTTTTTGTTTCTGTTAATATCTCAAGATATAACATGTCTATAGATGTCATTGAGCGTTTTTTAATACATAATTTGAACCCAAAACTCTCGTTAAAAAAATATGCAAAACATACAAGTATTAAGATAATGTGGTTGCGTTAAGTACCTACTCATTGGATTTTATTTCTACTGTATTATATAGTAAAGGTAACATTGTCATTAATGCAGGAAAATATTTAACATAAATGAATTCAAATATTTTTTTATTGATTCAATTAACTGGTAGAAATATGAGCAGTGTAGCGATCGGTAAAAATAATTCAAAAAAGTCAAAGAGGATGGAAGAAATTTAATGTTTTTTATATTCCCAATAAACTGTAAAAATTCAAAAACAAATGGATCAGCAAGTGGCATAGGAAGGATAAGTGGTCTTGTACCTATTAATAAAAGAGTTTGTAGTATACACTTTCGCATGGAAGATTATTAGGATTCTTAAAAGCTGAACTATTAAACATACAACCTAAAAGCTGAAGAAAGATTGTGTTCCTTGAAAGATTCCTTGACTTTGAGTTATTTTTGTGTTTGAATTTTACAAAATAAAGTGAAAGAAGAAACAAATATAATTAATAATAACTTCATGTATTTGGTTGTAAATAAAACTTTTAATTTTAGCAATTCCCTCGTTATTTCTAACGCCAGATGAAGATGACGTAAAAAAAATAAGTATGAGATCAAATCGCATCTAGGAAAGAAAACAAAGATGTTGTCGAATATATAATTTTACAGAATACAGTACTAAAGAAGAGCAAAATAAAAGTAATACACAGTATTCACAGTAATACACAGATGAACTGATGATGCTATCAGTATCAGAATTCGATAGCGAAACGTCTTCAAAATAGATGAAGTAGTATCAACTTTGTCTTTTATTTCTCCACCTAGTAGACCGATATTTGAACCCACCACTCGTCTGAGTGATCCTTATTATATATTGGATAGACGGTCGTACTCCTTTTTGCCATATGTGTAAGTGTATACTATATTTTTGGACAGAGAGAATATACTTTTTGAAATAGAATAAATTTTTATTTCTTATTTTATGAATATATTTATTTTCCATTAAAAGCATACTTTTTGAATTTGGCTGTCTAAAATTCAGAACAAATATTTTAAATTTGCCGCAAAATGAAATTAGTTGCGGCCCGTCCGCATTTGGCGCTAGAAACTCTCTCCCAACTCTTTCTATGGGACTTACCTTATCAGAGAGCTCTGGGCTGTGTACTGTGCAAGGGCTGTCATTTTATGTTGTCTGTCAGAATATTGTCAATTTCTTCCTAATGTGATTAACTCATAACAAAATAAGGTTTTAAACAGAATTAACTTGTTTTTGGACCAATATTTCAGCAATAAACTCTATAAGCAACCTTAAGTTGATGGTATTGTAAAAACAATGGAAAAAGTCGAAGACATGACACATTCCTATGCCTTGGCCCCTTTGAGTGATCAATACATGGTTCAAGTAGAAGACATGGAAGGTGAGTGAACATAAGGTATCGATAAAAGTTTATAAACTCGTATGTTTTAGATGAACACGATCAATTAACGGCCGAAAACACAGATGATTCCAACCATGACGGCGACAAAATCGGTGTTCCACTGCGGGAACAAGATAGGTTTTTACCTATCGCTAACGTTGCCAAAATCATGAAAAAAGCTATACCTGACGCTGGAAGGATAACTAATAAGGTATCTTAATATTTTTTTCTGAAATTCATTCATTCTAGTATTGTTTCTATTTTAGATTGCTAAAGATGCTAGAGAATGTGTGCAAGAATGTGTTTCTGAGTTTATCAGCTTTATTACTAGTGAAGCTAGTGATCGTTGTCATATGGAAAAGAGAAAAACTATTAACGGAGAGGACATTTTAGTTGCTATGAGTACATTAGGGTTTGACAACTATGTGGAACCTTTAAAAATATATTTACAAAAGTACAGAGAGGTAAGACATATAGACAAATATAAAACTATAGAGCTGTTGACAAAAAAAAAACAATTTAAGGAGGCCATACTAAGACACTAGTTACAAATAATGGTTTAACCATATAGTATACACAATATGTTACTCCAATGTATCTATGTTCAAATAATGATAAACCTAAATTTCTTATGGCTGTTTTGGCACAATATATTATGAACTTTCATGTACTTGATTTAAAAAAAATAGGAGGTTTATTTGTATGAGGTCAAAACATTCAAATATTTTTCATATTGTTACTATTGCCATTAACAAATTTTTTATGAAAATATTTGCATCCTTATTCATTTTGTAGTAAATATTGTGGCTTGAGAAGCTCTCACAGTTATCCCCTTTTTGTTTTTTATGAATATATTTTGATTTTTAGGCTGCAAAGAGTGATAAAAACCTGAGTGTAGACGTGATGTATGAGGATGTCCAAGAAGAACCCTTCAGTAAGTTGATTTTAGCTGCTACATCCAGCAAAATAATTAAATCCTGAAATTTTGTAGGTTCTGCAGGAAACACCATATTAAGTACAGATAATGGAGGGACAGAAACTGTATTGTACACCTACCAGGACAATGGCATACAACAGTTTCAACTAGGATAAAAATTATTTGGTTGTTTTATTTAGGCAAAAATGTTAATGTTTCTAAATTAGTTTTTCTTTTTCTTGTATGGCATTTTGTATTTTGGCCCACAGCTGCATTTAATTAATTTTTGTTTCCTTTTGTGACATGAAAAAAATTGAAGGGATATATTTTAATATGATTACTTTATTGGTTAAGAAAAACTGTCAACAATTTTTGTACAGTTTTCTATTGAGACATGGAAAATTTCCACTTATTGTTAATATTTGGAGATCATTTTCATTCGTCAAATCTCCACATTTACTCAAGTCAAGTAAAGAACATATCCATAAAGCATATTTGACGATAATTGCTTCATTTTCTTTTATTCTCTTTACTTACCTGAATGAAATAACATTTAATCATATTGACATTGGCAGCTGTCACAATTGTCTCAACAAATTGTGCTTCAAACAGATTAGTTTTCAAATATTTAACAATATTATTTGTGTGAAAGACTGTATGTGAAAATAGTTACTTTTGTTAAAATATTAAAACAAATCATTTAATTGTGAATTGTGTGTATTAAAATTAGTCTAGTAGTTAATTGTATATTTCTCCATTCTTTTTATAAAACTATAATAGTTTTATATAATAAATATTTGCTGAAAGTGTTATTATTTATTTGTCAACCAGCAATTGCTCAATTTAAATACAATATTATATTACTAAAATATACAATTTTAACACCCCATAAATCAATTAAGAATCATTTATAAGATATTAATTGCACTTTAAAAATACTTTGCTTTTCAAAGTATTTCAACCTATCTGTATACTTATTTGCAAACCTAGATAGACAGGAATTATATTAGTAGTTTGTTCGATGGTAGGTAATTTGGAAAGGTTTGATAAGCCTGGTTTGCCTAAAAGGGAGATGGAAGTTAGTTTTTTCCAACAGTTATGGACTGAAACTATGGGACTGCAATAGATTGTACAGAATAGTTAGATCCTTGTGCATGCGTCTGACCTGAAGAGTTGTGATGTTGAGAGAACTTTCAATGTTAGAGTAATTGATTTCTTCAGCTGTTTGGAGATACTTAAATGAAATAAATTTTCGGAATTAATGTTGAACCCTCTCAATAACCTGAATATGAACATTATAGCGGGGGACTAGACCTAGTCAACAGTACACTAATTTAATGGAAGGGATATTAATATAATCCTTAGCACAGCGTTTGATAAAGCCCAGCATTTGAAGTGACTTTGAAATAGTCATCGATATGAGCAGTATGAACGATAAAGTGGAATCAAGAACAATAACTAAATCTTAAACTTGGATTACAGACTCTAAAGGACAACCTTTTTTAGTATTTGGTATTGAATTGAATATTAATTCCATACATTTATTTCACACCAGTTAAAATGTTTGGACAATCAATAAATCCATGTATGATCTTGTATAAAAATATAGCTCCTGACATATATCACGACGCTTCTTGAGTAAGAGTATAGATAATTGTTGTTCGATACAGGATTAATCATGATTTTCAATAGGAGTGTGGATATGGTAAGCATAATATCTCAAAAATTTATGCTGGACTCTGTAAATGGCATCAATATTGTTCTAAAAATAGGGTGACGAAATAACTGAATAGTATTCCAAAATAGTTCTAACCAAGCAACAATACACTAATCTTGTTGAATTAATGGAAAAATACTTGCGATTCCTAGTAACGCAACTAAGAAGTTTAGATATCTTTATTGAAATAGAGTTTATGTGGCTACAGAAAGTAAGCTCCACATAAAAAATATAACAAACAGCTTTACGAGGGTACAGACACACTTTTTTAATAAAAAATTAGGCACTCCATCTGGACTAGTAGTAAGCTTATTGGGCAGCTTAGGACAAATAATTATACTAAAGTTGCTATTTAATGGAAGGACAGGTACATAAAGACTATTGTTATTTGGTGAATACACAGTTTGGAAGAAGTTCATAAATAAATTAGCTATGTCTTGACCATTTGTTGCAGATTGGACTTGTTATGACTAAATCGCTGATCATTATGTACTTCCAAAATGATTTTTGATCATTTTTTAGGCCATTATCTATACCTTTGATATAGTTGCTGAAGCAAATTTCAGAACATTGTCTACATTCAGCTCTTAGGTGGGAAAAACTAATATTGTCATCATCAGAACGATTATTAACATAATTCACGTGAGCATGTTTTTTCTCCAGAGTCAGTCTTCTAAGATCAGCAGAGAATCACTTGTTCTATATTTCTTCAATGGCACAAAGTAAGCAATTCCTATGGAAAGAACTCCATAGAATAATTTTGAAACAACATCAATATCATTAGCCATACATACCTACCAAGTTAAGTGATAGTAAATCTTAACTTCTTTCCAGTAGTAGAGAATTTTTTTATTTCCCCATATTTAGTGCGCACAACCTACGCCCAGTGAAAAACATTATATTGGATTTTCCGTGGACATTGTATATTATTTTTAATTGTCCATTATATAATAATTTCAACTCAAATTATACATATATTGCTGCACACTTTATTAAAACATTCTTCAGGTGAATCAATTGGATCGCCTGCCTTGAAGATAAGTTCCGCATAAGACGTGTACTATTCTTCTTCTTATTAGCCTTCTGGCGTTCATGTTTGGACATAGGCCTCTCCCAATTTCTTCCATCGGTCTCTATCCTGAGGAACATATTTCCAATTTGTTCCGGCTATTCTTTTATTGTCATTAACCCATCTCATCTGTGGTCTTCCTCTTGGTCGTTTACTTTCGTAAGGTCTCCAATGCTGTATTCCAACGTTGGTCTTTCTGTCTAGCGAAGCTCAATTTAAGTTTGGCAATTTTTGTTGTTATGTCCTCGACTTTTATTTTTGATCTTACCCAGTCGTTCCTCTTTTTATCTGACAGTCGTATACCTAACCTAACCTAACATTGCTCTTTCTGTTGTGGCTAGTTTATTCATGTTTGCCTTGGTTAGGGTCCAGGTTTGACATTCATATGTCATGATAGGAAGGATGCATTGGTTCAACACTTTGCTCCTTAAGTATTGAGGAATTTTGCGGTTCTTAAGTATCCAACTAAGTTTTCCAAATCCTGCCCATGCTAGTCTTGCTCTTCTAGTAATTTCCGCACTTTGGTTCTCTTTGTCAAGTCTCAGGATTTGGCTTAGGTAGATATATTCCTGGATTTGTTCTATCTCACTGCCGTTTATAGTTATATGTCTGGGGTCATCTGTGCTTGTCATTATTTTTTTCATATTAATTTTTAGGCCGACGTATTGGGAGCTGATTGCTAGTTCCCCCAACATAATTTGCAGTTTCTCGAATGTGCTCGCTATAATCACTATGTCGTCAGCGAATCTGAGGTGGTTTAACTTGTTGCTATTAACGTTAATGCCATAGGTTGACCAATTTGTGGTTTTGAAGACGTCTTCTAGGGCTAGGTTGAAAAGCTTTGGCGATATTACGTCTCCTTGTCTCACTCTGGGATTTGTATTTTCTTCTAGTTGGACTATCATAGTTGCATTTTCATATATATTATGTATTAGTTGCCTATACCTCGATTCTATTCTACAATCATTAATAGCTTGTTCTATGGCCCACATCTCGATACTATCAAACGCCTCTTCATAGTCGACGAAGGCAAGAAATATGGGTAGTTGGTATTCATTTGCCTTCTCTATCAATGTTTTCATTGTCAGCAGATGGTCTGATGTACTATATCTTTTGCGGAAGCCAGCCTGTTCAACCGGTTGGTAATTATCCATTTTGTAGGTTAACCGGTTATAAATAATTCTCATAAATAGTGTATACTTAACTGAACAACGATATAGGTCTATAATTCTGTAGATCACATTTGTCCACTTTTTTGTGTAGGAGTATTACTAGACTCTCGTTCCGTTCTTATCTATTAAATAGCTCTGTTCGTACAGGGATTGTTAATGTCTTGCTTGTTTTCAAGAGCTCGGCAATTATACCGTCGTGTCCTGGAGCTTTGTTATTTTTTAGTTCTTTTAAAGCTCTTTCTATTTCGTATACCTTTATATTTGGTAGTACTTCTGATCCCACGTTTTTTTTATTTTTCTTTTGACGTTCTCTTTTGTTTCATTAGGCTGGCCTTGCGAGCTGTACAAGGATATGTAGAAGTCTTCGACAATATTTGTTATTTTACATTTGTCCTTCTCTACCTTACTGTTGGCGTCTTTAATTTTGATGATTTTTTGAACTCCCAGTGCGGGTCTTAGACATTTTAAGCCTCTGTTGTTTTCAATGACTCGCTCTATTAAGTTCTCGTTCCATTTTTGTATGTCGCGTTTTAGTTCTTTTCTAATTGTTTTATTAAGAGGTGTACTATTACTCACTGTAAAATCCACTCTATTCCCCAGATTTAGCTACATCAGATTTCCAAAAGTAAAAATTATCTTCAAAACAAATGAAACTCCACTTTAATTATATTCTTTAATCTTATAATCTTAATAACATCTATTAACCAAACAAGAAATATTACAATGAGGTTCTTATAAATAAAAAACATTATATACGGCGATATACGATTACAATGAGGAAATTTGGATTGCATTTTGACGACGGCACGTCTTAATGATCAGGTTAATAGGGTATCATCGAGTTCCTCTTCCTTGCCTTCGGGTTGTGACATGATCTTCTTTAATACTTTGCTCACCACGTCCGAGAGGGATTCTCTGGCGCCGGCGTCAAGAATTCCCAGACATTTCTACAACAAAGGCAATATATACATTAGTTAGTACTTTATTAGAACGAAATATGTTTTTCTTGATAATTCTACAAAACTTTATTGCGAGGGACTTACCTGGAACATAGAATCACCATCCCTTAACCTTAATAACGCGATTAAAGCTATCTCTGAGTTGGCTTTTACGTATGTATTCTTTTCTTTCGTTCCATTTACCAAAGTTGGTAACAACATTTTTAACAAATCCGCAGACATCTTTTCAGCAGGAATTATTTTGGCCAAGTGGAATGATACTCTCGCTAAAAGTTGTTTTACATCGTTGCTGTTATTGTTCATAGCCTGGAATCAAAATGTACATTAACAACACTCAACGAGTACAAAACTACAGTGACTCACCCTAACAAATGGTACCAGTAGGTTGCTAGGAATCGGTTCTTCGCTCATCAACAAAAACTGCAAGAGATAACCACAGGATCGTATGGCGATTTGATTGATAACTACGGATTGGGAAGATAATTGACTTAGCAACGTTTGAATCAACCTCGCTCTGTATTGCTCGTCCCACAAACTTTCAGCTGCTTCTTTTAAAGCCACCGTTAGTGCTGAACCTCTGCCTTCTTTGAGGGTATTGTTAGCTGAACTATCATCACCTGAAACAAACAAGTAACACCTGTATTAGATATACATTCATCTTTTAGAGTTCATTGCATGTCATCACGGTACAACAAACTGCTTAGAGATTACTTAACAAGTAATTTTAGAATTATTCTGCCTTACATAAATCTTGTTTTAAATAAAAACAATTACAGAAAACATTTTAAGTCTCCATTACGGCATTTCAATGTTCCTGCTTTATATTCTAATTAGCTGTCTAATTTTACATCTATATCAAAGTAATTCCTTTAATAATTGACGTGTAAAAATACAATTTTTACTTATTTTCCCAAATATATTTGTTAAAAATGTATCCTAACCAAACTTTACTATGATATTAATAAAAACTGATGACCCGAAACACATTAACCAGAAAAGAACCAATAGATACATTTAACTGATCACTATATAACCAAAGAATATAGACGCATATAGAAGGATCTTTCATTGTCATTTTTTATAGCGTCGGCAAAGGTTATACATATGAATGAGAGGTTGATCAATATATTAGTTCCTTATTTGTATCACTAGAGAGCGGTTATGTCAACGCTATTACTACTTCTAAAATATTAAAGAGTGGGACAACAAATACAACTTTAGATATTTTTATATGTAGATGCCGCGTGGTCGTAGAATAGTACTAAATTTTTGCGTTTTATAAATTTTTTTGAAAAAAAAAAAAATATTATTTTAACTTTTAATAAATGAATCTTTTTAGAAAAAATATAATTCAAATTTTTAATTTAAATATGTACAAATCTACAAATAATATAATTAAAACTCTATAACCTATAAATATAATTAATTAAAGGTTTTGAGAGAAAGCCCAAAAAATTGTAAGGTGTTTCGATTAAAAAACCATTCCTGGTCTTGTTAGTATGCTAGAATTGCTGTTTAGTACATACACAAAATAATTATTTTTTACAATTTAAAAATTCGAAATTGTGAAGTATAATTTTGGATTATTAAATTAAAAAAAAAGTAATTCTCAAATAATTCCTCACTAGAGCTCAACAACGAAAGATGACAAAAAAGGCAAATATGGCTGCTGGAACATGAACAAATCCCAAGGAAACCAAATCAGCAACACCCGAAGATAAAAAGAGACTTCGAGAGAATACCATCACCCCCATCGTAACAGAGTTGCTACGAAACCAAGGGGCTCTAGGTCATAAAGTACCGTGACAAAAGTAATCAGAATGGTGGTAGCACACATATACCATCCTGATATTCAACTAGATCGGGCTCAAGCAAATTTGATCAATACAAACTGGAGCAAGCACTTGATGAGGCTCCTAATGGAGGTCAAAATGAACTTATACAGTTCCATAAAACATCGTTTAGCGAAGGGACCCTGTGGGTGAAGTATGTTAACGAGTATACAAAAAAATAGACGACAGAAGTGGTAAAGATTATTGAGAACATGTGGAAGTTAGTAAACTTAAATATAATTGATCCAAATAATATGCCCAAGCAGTCTATGGTCCTCACCGCTTCCCCGAGAAAGAGCTTGAAACCCGAATGTGAATTATTTCAAAAATAATTCAGGAATGCTTTTTGTTGTTATTAAAATAATATGGATGAAATGGAAGTTTCGGCGAAATGGAAAATTTCAAAATTTAGTAAAAAGTTTCATTGAATACTTTTTTGAAGAGGACAATTGTTCAATAAAATTTTTAAAATGTTTCGTAAATTTTTGGGCAGGAAAACAGTATAATAAAAAGTTATGTGACGGTTTTTCGTAGTGTTAGAACGAACTTGGAACAAACCTATTTTTAATTCAAAGTTATAAAATTTTATTTACGCGTAATAAAAAAAATACTTTGAATATTGTAAATATTATACCTTTTTAAGATTTAAAATTAAAAATTTAACAATTTAATATATTAAAAATAAAGATTTTATTGTGAAAAAAAAAAACACAAAAAAGACAGTTTGCAAATCAATGGCATCTATACCATTTTTCAAAGTAAAACACTTGCACGTCATATTTATACAAAGTGACGTCACTTGCATATAAAATTTCCAGAACATCAACCTTAAGAGTTCAAATTTTCCTAACACAGCTAATAATACGAAACCCATACGGAACTTCTCGATCTTTCATAGGCGTCAACATGGTGTAATAATCAGAAAAAATGTAATCATCATTATATTGGAAATTTTAGAATTATATTGATTAAATAATCAAAAAAATTTGTTATTATTAATAATATAAATATTATGAAATAACTCTTCAAGTCTAATATTCCACAAAATAATAATTTTAATTAAATATATTAGAAAATTGTACGCAACTGCTACGGAAATACTTCAAATTTTATTGACAGTTCACACGGGTGGCAAAAGTGTATAAAGTGTTGCCGGTTTTTTAGAGTAGGATTTTTATTTATGTTCTAAATTCTTACACAATTTGATCATAGTATAATATTTATTAATAAATTGTATTAATAAATACATATTAAATTTAGATTAATAGCTTTAAAAACTAATTATTGTTGTGTATTGTGATTGTGATATGCCAAAACAACTAAATAGTCTGTAGAAAGCTGATAAGCTTTCATATAAGATAGATTATTTTGAACAAGAAATAATGGCGGGACGTTTTTACTATTAAAGCCCTAAAACAGGTAAGTTTAAAATTTAGAATATAAAATTTTGTATTAAAATATTTTCTTATGTATTTTAATGTGTTGTAGTAGTCTTAAAACTAGGTGTATTTAGTGTTAATAAAATAGTTTGACAAATAGTTGGCATTTTAAAAATTCCTCACTTACTAACTATTCTGATGTTTTGGCAACGCTGTGGGGTTCTGACGACGTAAATATTGAATGACGTGCAAGCTTTTTTATATGAAAAATGCTATAAATTTGATTAGGCATATGTTAAATAAATAGCTCCGTTCGTACTCCTTTTCTACTTCCCCTGACTACATCTTTCATGATGGTTTTAAGCCGACGACCACGGTTTGAGTTTATGCAGTCACCCTCTTAGGAGTGTTTTAAAGTATAATAACCGCAACCAAACCGCCTATTTGAACCGTCCTTCTATAAGCGTCTATATTCTTTGATATAACTTCGAAGATTGTTTTCAAATATAGGCAACCAATAAAACAAATATTGAAGGCAACGATACTTACATAAAATGTGTTCGAACAGAGTGGATTCCAACTGATCCGGCGGTAAATACTTGCAGAGAGCACCTAAACAACCGGCAGCACACTTCCTTACAGTGTCGTCCGGTACTCCTAGATAGGAAACTAGAGTGGCGTGGATCTGCTTTTTCAAAGGCTCTGATATTTTGTCCCCCGCAGGCGATATTATACCTCTCAATGCGTGCATGGTTGTTTCCCTAAAAGATTCATATTAGTTTTATTAATTTAGTTAGGATAATCTCTTTAACTGAAATGTTTGAAAAACTACTTTAAGTTGGTTGTACTGAGATGAAACTTAAAATTTTGTACATGTGTCTCCTATTAGAAGTTCTTTTAATTCCACCAATGAAAATGTAGTCATGGATTTTTTGAAAGATGTACACTCTCCTTGCAACCCTTTATTTTTATTACCTGTTAGTGATACTGAAATCAGGAATGTTTGCATAGATTGAAAAATTCACACTGCACGGATTTTTATTTCTTAAACAAAAAAGTAATTGTGGAAACAATCGATACAATTATTGACAAATTAATTATACTTTATAATAATTGTATTACTAAAATGATTTTCCCAGATGTATTAAACGTAACAAAAGTGCTACCAGTGTTCAAAAAGGGAGCTGTAGGTGAAATTAGAAATTATCGTTCCATCCCAATCATGCTAATTTTCGTCAAAATTTTTTAGAGTATTCTAAATGTTCGTTTGATAGATTATCAAAAGTTTTGATAAAAAAATACAAAATACTTCACTGTAATCAATATGGTTTTAGAAAAAAGTGTAGCACTACACTAGCTATACAGAAAATTGTGAGAGATGTAGTTGATGGCTTGGAGGAAGGTCATTTTGTGTCTTTGACATTGTGTAACTTATCCAAAGCTTGGGATAAGTCACACAATGTCAATGTATGTATGGGATAATTGTTGTCACGCAGATCGAATTTTTAAACTACAAAAAAGAGTTGGAATGTTACTTGTAAGAGCAGAGTATAGGGGACACTGTAAAACTTTATTTCTGGATTTAGGTATTATGACACTACCTTCGCTCTCTATATATATATGAGACATTGATTGAAATTCATGCCAACAAAAGGTAAGTTTAACATAAACTTCAACTTCCATGATCACGATACACGATCTAGAAGTGCTATTAGAGCACAACGTTTTAAGTTGATAAAGAGCATACAAAATTCGACTGACGTTGGTTTGTATAACTTTTTGCTAGATGAAGTAAAAAGTCTTCACTTATCATCATTTTGAGCTTAAAATCAAATCACACTTTGAAACATTGTTTCTATTCAAAAACGAAGTACCTATGTGCAGCTTTTAGACAATTTTGGTCAGGGTATTTTCCTATTATGACGATATTTCATGTTTTTATATTTTTATTTAGTACGTTTGTCGTTTCTTAAATTGTTGATATTAAATATCTGTTTGTAATGTTTAAATTCGTAAAAATTCATTTCAATTCAACCTATTAAAAGTTGCTTAGACAATTTCCAAGCAAAAAAATTTTCAGCCCGTAGAAATGAAAATTCGTGAAAACAAGGAAATTTTATGAGAAAACGGAAAATGCTTTAAAGTTTGAGAAAATTTGGTCTATTAAATTTGACTATATTTCCAAAACAACAGTGTATTGCTTTTTTGAATGGTTTCAAAACTTTGATGGATAGAAAATTCATTCATTAGTTAACATTGAAGTTATTGTTAAATTTACTTTACGAGAAAAATATTACACTTTGAGAACATTTTCTATCCTATCATATACGGCATAAAACATTCATAAACTAACCTGATAGAAATATCTTCAGTATTCTTAATAGTATTGTGCAGCTCCATGAAGAGTGGATCCGCCCTTTGATGGATTACTATAAGATATCCTAAAGCGGTAGCAGATTTTAACCGAACAGATCGGTTGGGATCGTTCAAAGCTTTCACGAACGTTGTTTGTAATTGTGGCAAAAATTGTTTCAGCATTATTCCAACCTAAAATCAAAAATTATGTAAATCATCCGAATAATAGTCCAGTTAAACATGATTCAACGTAGGAAATAACTAATAATTGTTTCTTTTATTTTTCGATTATAGTACTAATATTTAACAAGAAATATTTATCCCGTATGACTGTATTATAAAATCAAAGTTAAACAATCACAACTTTTTTAATGATCTTGTATAAAGCCCAAAATATATTTATTGTAGAAAATTACAACTGACCTTTGCCAATAAAGTAGCTAGCGCATCTAGAACGGCAGTCTTGACATTAGCACTGAACCTATCACCCAAAATCCTAATCAGAGGTCCAGTAATGGCCACCACGCTAGGCTGCAAAGCTGTGGCGCTGGTAACCTTGATGATTTCACCAAGTCCTTGAGCTGCTGCTTCTTTTTCGTCGCCGTCTCCGTTCAGAATCGCTTCTCGGAAGATGGGCAGGATAGGGGCGATACCTTTGGGTATACAGAAACCTGGCAATAGGTCTGATGTGCCTTTCATGTCGGACATGGCGTAACGAACGGCTTGTCGGACGTCTGAGACGTATGTGGCTTGCTGTTTGGGTTCTAGAGTCTGAAACAACAAAAAATATCGGTGGAGAAAACAATGTTGTGTAGTTCGTCTGAATGCACTTTTGAAACAATGTATAACTCTTGAAATATACAGAAATTATAGAGATAAAACACTTACCTTCGTAACAGCATTCAGAGCTTCCCATGACATTTGCAAAACTTCCCGATCTGAGTCGATACAGAGATGTATGAGTCCTCTAAGCAACTGCGGGACGTGACTGGTGTATTGCGCTTTGGAGTTAGCACAAAATCCACAGAGCAACGTTGCTGCCGCTCTCCTCTGATCGGCGTTTTCGTTCCTTGTATTTTCTAGAAGGGTATCTATTACAGTTCGGATTCCTACTTCATCGACTACAGAGAGAACAACAGCTTGGCAGTATTCCATTTGCTAAAAGTTTAAAATTTAATAATACGACAGATTACTGGACGATTTGATTACCTGTGCTTCTTCAGGAGTACCTCGTGAAGAACCGAGAGTCGTTTGAAGGGCCGGTAGGATCCTCGGGAGGTATTTGTTCAAGGCCTCGCCTGCTACTGAAGCCAAAATTGACAATGCCTTGGTATTGGCAGGAGGCGCCGTTAGCTGAGGTACCAAATAGGGTAGCACTACGCGCGATTTGATTGCCATCACTTGCCTTAAACCGTCTAGTGTCCATTCTACAACCTCTGGATTTTCATCGTTCTGAAAAAATATAATAATTATAGTTTCTTCGGACTTAACAGTGTATATGAGTAATAACACGTGAACATTATTCTGCACCAGCGAAGAGTCGGAACATGGTAGCTATTAATAAAAAAAAATACATACAGCCAGCAGCATTGACACAAGAAAAAGTTCAGTGAACAGAAAATTAAAAAAGCATTAACAATCTTTTCAAACCACTCTCTTAAACTTCTCATCCAGGACATTCTTCTACGGCCTGGATTTCTGCGTCCTTGGATTTTTCCCTGCATTATATTTTGTAGGAATGTGTATTTTTGTCCTCTCATCAGGTGGCGTAAGTATTCAAGTTTTCTCTTTTTTATATTAATAATAACTTCTGGATCGTTATTTATTCTGCGTATTACCTCTTCATTTGAAATTTTATCAAAGCTTTCAATATTTTTAATATTCCTCTGTTTAAGAGTCCATGTCTTAACACCGTAAATGAGTATAAAAGAGTGACAATAAAATCAATCATAGACATGTGCCCCCTGGAGTTTTCACAAGTATATTTATGCTGGAGCTTATGGTCGAAAAACTATTTTATAAAATTCAATTAGCTATGTAAATTAGAATGAATTATCAACGTCTACTTACCAATTGATTCAATAATGTAGGTAGAATATCATCCAACGCTCGTGCACCGACAGTGAAGTGCAAACTGTCAAACGTTTTCGCCGCTGCTTGTCTAACTTCCGGTAACGGATCACAGAGGGCTTTCCGAACAGTTGGTACCAATGAATTGACGAAAGTGAGTACCATTTCTTTGGAGGTCGACGCCATAATTTCGGACAATCCGATACAGACTCCTTGACGTTGATCCGCTTGCGGAGACTGCAGACCTCGTTCTAAGATCGGAATGATCTCTGGAAGGACTCTTTCGCCCAATTTTCTAACCAGATCCCCGAGTGTTCTAGCTGCTACTTGACGTTTGTCGTAGCTATCACTCGCAAGACAGCTACACGACATAAAAAATGACGTATTTCAGAAGATTATATAAACTAAAACGTATATACTTACCCAAGAAGAAGTCCAAAAAGCGTCGGTAATATTTCTCTTAGAGTTCTCGGCGTATTTGTAACTACCACCTTCCAAACGTGCAGAGCAGCTTGTCGTACCATGAGGGCTACGTCAGATCTACCCATGTAGAGCCCAGCCAATACTCTATTACGTCTTTCGGCACCAAGGGCTTTGATAATTGCAGTGTGGGATTGTTCGGTACCGAAGTTGTCGTCTTCGCTGGCCGTTTCTGTACTCATCTTTCCGGTAACTCCGGATATTCTGTACAAAAGGTCTCCGAGAAGCTGAACGGAACTGAAATAACAAGCGAAACGATTAAAAATGCCATTCATAATTCAATTATATGTTTAAGTACTTCTAAGTAACTTTTAAATTCTACTAAAAATATTTATTTACTTTAAAAATCAGTCACAGGAATTATAGGTATTCCTAAGACCAGTAATATGTTTGCTTAGTTACTTTAATCAGTCATGTGTCTTAAAAAGTTTTTAAATTCAGTCATATGTTACTAATAGTTACTTTTAAAATCAGGTATGTGTCTCTAAGTACTATTAAAATGAATAAAACAGTCCTAGCTACTTCTAGAATCAGTTACTAGCTACTTTTATAAATAAGTAGACTTCGTCAAATATGCATATTGCATATTGTGCATATTTTATGCAAATATTTCATATTTTGGCATATTTGTATAAAAGTTTGCATAAAGTGCATAAAAGTTCAGATTTTTATACTGTATTTGAAAATTTTTAAACATACCAATTTATTTCAATTCTTGTATAAAATTTTGTAGTCATTTTAATCAATAAATGATCTAAGTACGTAATCTCTACAGGTACAAAACATTTACAATTTCAAAGAAGATCAATTTAAGTAGCCCTCAACATTCTTAGAAAGTCTCGGTCACTGAGGCATTCAGTTATTGGATAATCGCTAAGGGTTCGCTCATTTGCATTTTATGATCTAATCCCCAAATCTATCTACAATTTATTGTATCTTAACAGCAGGTAAACGGCTAATAGTTTTGTTCCTAATTTAGGGATTTTCCAAAATCTCCCAGTTTATTGAATTAGGTACCTAAACATTTCTAATTTGATGCTCAGATTTGTAAATCATTTTTATTTTGATATTCAAAGCGTAAACACTCGTTGTGGGTAACAAAAAGGAAGATTGTGATTTTATAATGCCTAAAACAACCAGTGCTTCAACTTGGATTAAACCTTATAAAGAGCTGTCTATGGATATGGGAAAAATCTACTGTTCAGTCTGTGACAAAATTGTAAGTATCTAATATTTTCTATTAAATATCTAATATTTCATACATACAGGGTGTTTCCAAATGACACTTACAACGTTTGACTGTAGATACTTCTCGAAAAATTGAACAAAACGATATAGTTAATGAGGGGTCAAACTTATTTACTTTTCGAGATACAGGGTGTTAAAATTAAAAAAAATTAAACTCTTTTAGTTAATAAGAACAATAACTTTAAAACCAATAAACGTATTTACTTGAAATTTAGTACTCGTAGGTTGTTTTTAAATGAAAAATAGCTTCCTTTAGTGAGAAAAAATTGTCCATGGTACAATACAATGGTGTGTATTTAGAAAAATTTTTCACCTTTACTTTTTTTTATGAAGTCAGCTATTCTAAAACACAATTATTTTTATTGTCATTGAATTAACAAAAAAAAACTTTTGTTGAATTTTAAAATAAGTTATATGATGTACTAATGGTTAGTAACAAAAACTAATTTGTGGATTATTACTGCATTTAAAACACTTAGCGAGTGTTTTTTTTTCCAAACCAGTTATTTGATTAACCAAAAACACCTTGTATATTTTTATATTTTAAAGGTTGGGTTAAAATAAAGGTTTTTATTTTTATTTATAGATAGCATGTGAGAAGAAATTTCAGATAGACCAACATGTGAGAACTGCTTCACACATTGCAAAAAAAGGAAAAATAGGAGGAAAACATCAAACTTCAATGGCTAAATGTTTCCAATCTACTTCAAAAAAATTAGATGAGCAAGAAACTTTTAATGAAGACTTGTGTCGCGCATTAGTGTCTGCAAACATACCGCTTTCAAAATTAGCAAATGTAAATTTTAGTTCGTTTCTAAAAAAATATTGCAAACTTAATGTTCCAAGTGATCGGTCTCTAAGAAGAAATAATGTGAACGGGCTATACTCGTCGGTGTTAATTAATATTAAGGAAGAAATTGCAGATAATTATTTTTACATATCTGTAGACGAAACCACTGATTCCTCAGGAAAGTATATTGCTCATTTATTGATTGGTATTCTTAAAGAAGATACCTTACCAAAATCTCATCTTATTTCATGCCAGCAACTTGAGAAAACAAATGCTTTAACAATTTCGCGTTTTATACAAGAAACATTAGCAACTTTTTTTCTTCCGACAACTATTCCTTCTAATACATTACTGCTTATTTTATCGGATGCTGCTCCTTATATGGTGAAAACAGGACAAAATTTAAAAATATTTTTCCCAGATTTAATACATGTTACTTGTGTAGCGCATGGATTAAACAGAGTTGCAGAGGAAATACAAAAAAAGTTTCCAAATGATGAAAAAAAAAAAAAATACCATGATATCCAGTGTCAAAAAAGTATTTCTTAAATCTCCTATAAGAATTCAACTTTATAAAGAAATGCTACCTAACATTCCTCTTCCACCACAACCTATTTTAACGCGATGGGGAACATGGTTAGAAGCAGCTAATTTTTATGCAGATCATTTTGTGATTTGATCATAAAGAACATAATTGATACGTTAACAGATGAAAGTTCCCAATCTCTTTTGGATTCTAAACAAACTTTTTAGAGTAACTTGCTTCAACAAGAACTTTCATTTATAAAATCAAATTTTAGTTTTGTTCAAAAAACAATTACTCAGTTAGAATCACCAAAACTGTCATTGTTTGAAAGTACGGCATTAATAAAAGAATTTGCGTCATGTTGTCGGAACGTTAGAGGTAATATTAAAAAAGATATTTTAAAAAAATTTGAAGCTACTATGGAAAAAAATAAAGGTTACCATATTCTTTCTGAAGTAGTCAGTGTTCTAGCTGGAAATATTTCGGAAACAATTAATTTAGAACCAAATGTTTTGGTTAGTTTGAAAAATGCTCCCGTTACATCAGTTGATGTTGAACGAAATTTTTCCATATATAAATATATGTACTCAGACAGAAGCCACAAGTTTTTGTTAGAAAATTTTGAACACCACTTGGTCATTTATTGTTACCATAATTCTAAATAAGTTTATTCATACTTAAAATAAATGTAAATCTTAGTGAATAGTAGGAAATATTTAGTTATGTACACTTTTTTTTTAAATAAAATTGTTACTATTTTACGATTTTTTTATTTATTTGTATGCATATTTTGTAAAATATTTGCATATTTTCGGGTAAACACGTGCATATTTATGCGCATATTTTCTACATTTTTATTTGCATATTTGCCGAAGTTTATAAATAAGCCATTAGGAGTTTTTAAATTTACTTTTAGAATCATCAATATATTTTCTAGCCACTTTTAGAACCACCCACAGGTATTTAAGTACTTTTAAAATTAACTTTGAAAATTAAGGCAAATATCGAGAAGAAGTTTAATCAAATCTTGTCCAAGTACTTTCGCTATCTACAGCATCATGAGGGGCATCTGAAATAAGCCAAGAAACAGTTTTTTAAATGAAGGAAGTTAATTAACATCGATAATAACTTTGAAGTTAATGGATGATAAAAGTTTTTTGTGATTAACGTTTTAGACTTACATTAGACTTAATCACAAAAAACGAGTTTTTATCGAAGTTAATTAACTTTCTCCATTTAAAAAAACGTTTCTTGGCTTATTTCAGATGCCCCTCATGATGCTCTAGATAGCGAAAGTACTTGGGCAAGATTTGATTAAACTTCTTCTCGATATTTGCCTTAATTTTGCCTTAATTTTCAAATTTATTCGAGCATTCAACCTCATATCAACTTTTAAAATTAGTAATACGTTACTAATTATACAATTAGTTATACATCTCGAAGTATTTTTAAGATCAGTGTCACGGTGAGAGCTACTTTTAGAATCAGTCATATTTTCCTAGCTAATTTTAGAATCTGTCCTCGGCCGAAAGCTCTTTTACTATCAGTCATTTGGCAATAGCTACTTAACAATTCGTTCATATATCCGAGTTACCTTTAAAATAAGTAATTATGTCTCACAGTTACTTTTAAAATGAGTTTAATGTCATTAGCCTCTATTGAAATCAATTATACGTCTCAATTTTTTTTAAAATCAGTTATAAATATGTCCTGATTTACTTTTAAAATCAGTGTTAAGTTCTTAGCTACTATTAGAATCAGTCATATATGCCTAAATAGTTTTAAAATCGGTCATATATAGTTATGCACCTTAAAAATCAGTCAATCAAAATCAAAAATTCTTTAAAAATCTGTTATTCGTGCTATAGCTTCTTAATAAGTCAGTCATGTCTAAGTTACTTTTAAAATCACTACCTATGTTTACTATATAGCTACTTTTAAAATGAGTTAAATGTCACTATCTTCTTTTAAAATCAGTCATACGTTTGTATCTAATTTTAAAATCAGAAATATGTATTTAGATACTTTTAAAATCAATTATGTCTTTATAGTAAAAATTTTTTTACTACATTTGATACTCAGTCATGCGTACAAAAAAAGGTCATTTGGCAATAGCTACTTAACAATTCGTTCATATATCCGAGTTACCTTTAAAATCAGTAATTATGTCCCACAGTTACTTTTAAAATGAGTTTAATGTCACTAACCTCTATTGAAATCAATCATACGTCTCTAGTTTCTTTAAAATCAGTTATAAATATGTCCTGATGTACTTTTCAAATCAGTGTTAAGTTCTTAGCTACTATTAGAATCAGTCATATATGCCTAAATAGTTTTAAAATCGGTCATATATAGTTATGCACCTTAAAAATCAGTCAATAAAAATCATAAGTTCTTTAAAAATCTGTTATTCGTGCTATAGCTTCTTAATGAGTCAGTCATGTCTAAGTTACTTTTAAAATCACTAATTATGTTTACTATATAGCTACTTTTAAAACGAGTTAAATGTCACTATCTTCTTTTAAAATCAGTCATACGTTTGTATCTAATTTTAAAATAGGAAATATGTATTTAGATACTTTTAAAATCAATTATGTCTTTATAGTAAAAATGTTTTTATTACATTTTATACTCAGTCATGCGTACAAAAAAAGAAAAAACATGGAAAATACAAAGAGACAAGCATTTGAATTAATAAACTTGAGATTTTACGTCGATACGATCAAAACCATGGAAAATACTAACTTACCTGTATCTAATTCTCCAATTTTCATCAAAGAGTCCTTTTTCCAACTCTGGTAGAAGCAACAAAATCGCCGAATCTGCATAGAGGGTAACAATTCTTTGCCCAGCTTTCAACGCCGTATCTCTGACATACTCATTTTCGTCAGCGAGTGCTTTCAGAATGGGATTGATGATTTGCCCGATGTAAGGAGTAAACTCGTTGGTGAACACTACTGGCATATATATGAACATCATGATGTATCCGTCTTTGACGTGAGGCGCAATGTCAGTTCGTTCGGCTGTGCTGATAATCTCTGGCATGAGTTTGTGGAGTTTTTCGACGCCCAAACCTCCTACAACTTCGGAAAGACCTTGGGCAGCTCCCGATCGGTCTACAGAGCTGGTTTCCGAGGTTAAAGTGGTCATCAACCAAGGTAAGAGATCTTCAAAGCTGGATTCACCCATTCCTCTCACCATAGCACCTAGAGCTCTGGCGCTGACAGATCTTACCTCCGGTACAGGATCCAATAGAGAAGTCTTCAGGCCAGGGATGATCGTCGGCAAGTACGGCATTAAATCCTTTTGATCAGTCAAGGAATACATGTTTCCGATGATTTGAGCTGCCATCTTACGAGTCTCTGTGGATCTATCGATAAAAGCTCTTTGAACTACCGGCATTATCAAAGCTAGAGATGGAGCATCAATAAAGTGGACAAACTGAGTGTCCAAAAGCGTCTGCAAACACACCGAAGTTTTATTAGAAGGATCTTGTAGCGCTTTGAGAAGCACCGGCACGATAGCTTGAATCTCGGGATTTCTAATGACAGATCCAATCACTTTCAAAGCCGCAGCTCCAGCTTCTTGAACCTTCATGTGGGAATCGCTGAGAACTTCTATCAGTTTTGGAACGATGCTGGGAAGACACGACGATAGTTGTTTAGGAGCACAATACGCCATAGCTCCCAGGAGTTCCACCGATCCGGTTTTTGTCCTCCAGGAATCTTCCTCCAGCGCTGCTAGTAGAGATGGCAGGACGAGCTTCACACCGTGGCCGGATAACTTGCTCATCACGACTTTGGCTGTATCGTCAGCAGCTGCAACATATACAATAGATAAATAGCTGTGACTCGACAACACTAGAATGCAATAAGTACAACGAAGTAACAACGTGTTATGTGTCTCGTTGTAACGTCGTTGAATGTAGTGGAACACAACTGACAAAAACGCAATGAAACGACATATCGTGAGACCACACTCCATGAACGAAGTTCCATGCGTGTTTCTTAATAAATTAAATTAAAAACAAAGCAAACAGTACAAATCCAAAGATTTCTACTATATGTTCGAAACCAAATAAATCGCTTACTTCAAAAACAATCTAAGTCACATTTTAGAGATTTTGAGGTTATAACACCAACATGTATTTCTGTGGATTACACACAATTTAATGCAGAATACAGCTAAGTCCCGTAAGTATAGTTGATTTTATATCGATTTAAAATATTCATATTTCTGAAACCACCTTAGTCCCGGAATAAGGTTGTCTTAATTTGTGCTTAAATTATATCCCTTAAATTGTCAGTTGTCATTTTGCATATCGACGTTTACCATAACATAATTAAAATTCATAGTGTTTCTATTGTTTGTTCTTATTGCTGCTTACAAAAAGTTGTCTGTATATTCGAAGAACAACGTTCATATTTTAATGTTCATCTCCTGCAAACTGTCCGAATGTGACTTAGGTTGTTTCTGAAATAAGCGATTCAAATGTATTTTCTGAAAAATGTCTTTTCTTAATTAAATACCATCGCTGCGTGTGTAGACGATAAGAAAGCTATGATTCCTTTCTCAATCGGGTGTTTTGTCAAAAATATAAATATGTAAAAACTAGCACAGGAATAATGATCATATGAGTTAGCGGCAGATTTGTAAGCAAGTAAGTGAATTTTAAGCGACCAAAACACCCGCCTTTACGAACAGATTTGGCACCAAGTGAATTTTGTTTCTCTATACTACAAACTTTGAAAGCAATTTCGCGCATTTATCAAAGTAATTGTGAAAGAAAGTATAAAAACATTACCTGTTCTGACGTACTGGCTGGAATCACCAAAACACTGCAAGAGATGAGGCAAAACGTGGACAATATAAGGCTCGAACAGCTTGCCCAACATCTGAAAGAGCATCTCGAAGGCAAACAATGCTCCCTCTCTATGTTTGTAGTTCTTTTTGTCCTGAATGGCGTCCGTGAGTTTCGTCATGATATCGTGCTGCTTTAGTGCCAAAATTCCCATTCCTTTCACCAAACCGGCTAAACCATAAGCAGCTCCTTTCCGTTCGCCGTATTTGTCGCCTTTTAATAGTTGATGTAGTAGTTTATTGACGTACCCAGGTGCATCGTCTTTAACGGAAGGGATTAACGGAGGCAAGCAGTTGGATACGGCTTCTTGAACGGTTTGAGATGGGGTTGTTAGTGCTTGTATCAGTCTTAATACGATGGGTTTGATTCTTGGATCGTCTTTGTCCAAATGTCGTGCCAAGGAACCCATTAGAATGACAACAGCTTGTTTGACAGCGTCGTAGGTGGCCGATTTTGAAGATTTTCCCATGAAGTCGTCGAAAACTGGCCACAGAGTACCTACAGTTTCCTTGCCGTGAAGATCTACAACTCTCAAGGCAGCATTCAGCATTTCTTTCCTAACAGTCTCATTTCTGTCTCCTAAAGATTGGAATACGAAAAATTGTATCAAATCAGCGATGAGCTCGTCCGTGAATAGGGGCGCCAATTCAGCCAAAGCCAGTGCTACTCCTCTACGAGGGAACCAAGTGTCCACAGCTTTCTCTACCTCTCTGCCAAACTCGTCTATTTTGGCAGGAATCATCTTCAAACGATCTTGATACAGTTTAACTAATTTCTTCATTATTTCTTCGACTTGCGACTGGTCGGTTTCTAAAAGAGCTGCTAGAGATTTGGCTGCAGCGGACTGTACACATTCTACTGGATGTTCAACGTCGTCCATTAATTCTTCGCTCAATTGAGCAGGAAATTTCATATTGGCCTCATCCCACAATTGTTCTGCTAATATTCTGTTTTCTTCGACTTCGTCGAATTTCGCGATCCAAACTCTTTTAAAAACTTTTATGGCATAGGCGTAATCATTCTCGAAGGTGGGAAGTGTCAGGATGTCTATGGTTAGTCCTCTCAGTGCGGCGTCTCTGAGTACCGAGGAGGGGCTCTGCAAGGCACCTAGCAGAACATCTATTTCGTCAGTGCTAGCTTTGGCGCAACCTACTTGGCCGCTTATACAAGAAGCTACTTCCAAAAGACACGCTTCGCATTGGGACTGTACTCTACCCTGAGTTGCGTTGATAATTCCTACAAGGAGGCTGAGTATCTGTTTGGTAGGCAAGTATCGTGGATGATAGATATCTTTGACGCCATTTTCTTCGGTTCCTCGTAATTTAGCGTGCTCGGCTATGATTTGGAGTCCATCGTGTATTAATTCGTCGTGGTTCCTAGCGTAATTTGAGACTAAACTGTATTTTAAGAAAGGGAAAACGTAGCAAAAAGCTGGAACTGTAAAACACATTTCTGAATGATCTTCAGTCTTTTTGGGTACAGTCTTATCGTGGATTAAAGCCACAGCTCTCACCATGGCTTTGTTAATGTTCTCCGATTCCCAATTGGAGTCCAAATCGCACTGAGGATTGGCTAATCTCAAGGTCAAGTTAGCCACTAGTTCTCCCAGGGGGTCCAGATCGTCGAAAAACACAGTTTTCCTCAGACTGGTGAAGAGCTTGCAGATTAGAGGTGCGGCTAGGGGTGACTGCAAGTCTTGGAGCAAAGTCGGGAGAAGATCTTTAAAGTGCAGAGATAAATGTAATGGGTTACCCCTAGCCGCTGCTTGTATCATAGATAGACATTCTTGAACTGTCGTGTTTAACTCCGTTAGTCGACTTCTGATGGTTTGCTCCTTCAACTTTTGGTTCTTAATTGCTTCTAGTTGTTTAGGTGTAAGCTGCGGCGGCTTTATTTTGCCTTCCTTCTTTTTCTTTTCTTCTAGTTCCCTTCGCAGTTGAAGCTCCTCCAACTGTTCCTTGTAACTGTACACCTTGCTCTCTCTCTTCAGATTCATATCGTTGTTGCTGTCGTTACCTGGGATCACGCTCTTGTCGTACAGTTCTCCATCTGGTGTCAGGAAGGTGAAGTAATCATCTTTTGATATTTGACAGATCCTCGGGTCGTTTAATCGAGTGATGACTTTGCTGGCTATATCTGGCAATAGAGCGTCAGGATTGACAGCTATGAGAGTGGCTAAAGCGTTCTCATTGCTCACTGTGTGTTTATACTCATCTACAAATAGTTGTTTGAACTGAGAAGATTGCCGAGCCACCAAATCCTTAGGTTTACTATTGAAATGCTTTATTATCTTGACCCACAAGTTTGGCATTAAGTTAACAACAGACGGATGATGCGTTGGCAGTAACGAATCGATGGCTAGAAGCTGCACATCTTCTGTGGTCAAACCAGATAACGAGCACAACGTTGTTATACATTCCACGACAGTATGAGAGCTCAAAAAATTGTTGTCACTCTCTTTATTATCCTCTGATTTCGGCTCGTTTATTACTTTATTGGTTTCTAAAAACCTTTGCAGTTCTTTGAACAAAGATCTAGCTATAGCAGCTCCGCTTAAACTACCCACTATTCGCTTGAGTATTGCTAGACATTTCCGTCTCGTACTACTGGAACAAACTGTTGTGCAGTACAACACAGCTCTGTGGATTGGTTCTGGTTTCTTTAGTTTTTCCGGGTACTGTACGAGCAATACTTCGCAGAGTTGCATGACATATATGAGACCTGCAAAAAAAAGTTATCATAGTATATCTATTCCACAGGAAAGTGTTTAAATGGTGATAATAAGAAAAACGTAAGTAAATGCACTAGTACTTGACACTGTACCAGTAGTTGACATTTTCCATTTTAAGCATAAATAATAAGCTTTTCCAATTATTTTTAATGTAATTATTACCATCATTGTTAACTAGTGTCATCTATACATCTTCTCTGTAACAGTAGAATTATTTAACCTTGAAACATAAAATTCCCACCAAATTTTTGTCAGAGTGTTGTGTGAGCTTCAAGTGGCAACAAGTTTTCTAAACAAAAGTATTAAGAAGGTAAGTTTAAAAAAATTAATATTTATTGATTAAATTGTGAATGACTGTAGTTTTAGATATATCAATATATTATATGAATATTAAGGTAACATCTTGCTAATGTTTTAAGTTTGTTTTATTCTAAAAACAAAAATTAGGCTAGGTGTCAATTACTAACTCACAAATACACAAAAATACTAGTAGTTGACATAGGTGTCAACTACTAACCATTTATACTGAAACTGTAAAAACTTAATATTTTATTGTTATTTTCATTGTATATAATGTGTACACGTATATTTTAAATATCACGTAAATGTATCCACTCTATCTAGTAGTTGACACTATGTCAACTATTGAAACACTTTGGATGTCAACTACTAAAACAAAAATTTTAAATTTCAGTTAAAAATATGCCTCCTATAAAAGGACAAATGTTCCAATATACAGAAGAAGCTATGGAGAAAGCTATTGAGGAAGTTCTATGTGGAAAGCCAGTTTCAGCAACATTTAACATTACACACTAGTAGATTTTGCACTGAACATGGTATTATATTGGTAGCCCTTCATCCAAATGCAACACATTTGTTTCAGCCAATGGATGTTGCTGTATTTCGTTCTTTGAAAGGGGGTTGGAAAGATGTAGTACACCAGTGGCGGATTGAGAATCAGGCTTCTCCAGTTTCAAGGAAAATTCACTTCTGTCCTCTTTTGAAAAAAGTTCTAGAGGAAAGGTTTAGTACCATCAATTTTAAAAAATGGTTTCTGAAAATATGGCTTAGTTCCCTGGGATGTTGGTGCGATTATGTTTCACAATGAGAAAATAGACATTTAAAAAAAAATGCAGGAATTGTAGAAAATGAAACAAGGGAAAAACTTTATAGAGAAACATATTGATAAACAAAAACTAGCTCTTTTCAAAACAAGCCTAGAATGGAACAATGACAATGAAGATTTATCTCTCTTTCACTTTTACAAAAACATTTGCATAAAATACATTTTTTTAGAAGAAGAAATAAACAATTTGAAAGCGAAACAAGGTGCGAAAGAACCAGATGATGAAGACAATATTATTGAAGATGCCACTTATATTGACGACATACCAAATGTTGAAGACAGCCCTAATGTTGAAGACATTTACGTAGAGAACAAACCTGATAAGCCAGTCGAAGAACAGTATGAAATAGGTGAGTTATTAAACCACTCTGAGGCTGAAACAGGTAGACACATTTCGGATGTTTTGGAAGGTCACACTAGTCCCACTAGGAAAAATCTTCAACATAACAATATTGCTATTATTCAAGACACTTGTGTTTCTTCATTAACACAATCACAAGTTCCATCTTCAGCAATTGAAGAATTACCTACACCTTCTACATCAAATGAAATGCTGTTATGTATATACCCTCTCCTTTTAAACGAATACTGTTTTGGCCTGAACTCAGAGTATCCGCAGTAAAAAAAAGAAGAGTGGAAAAAGTTCCTTCTGTGGCCACTTCAAAAGAATGGCAAACTTATCATGAAAATAAGAAGGTCAAGCTTCTTGAAGAAAAACAGAAAAGAGCAGAAAAAGGAAGAATCATCAAGTGATAATAATGAATCATAGGTTGAATCTGGTAGCAGTAAAATGACAGTAAAACTTCATTTCGAATTAATGATAAAGTTGTGAGCGTAATAACATTTCATCAAATCCTAAAAAGGATGCCCCAACCTCAGATACTCATTTCAGGAGAAATAATAAAGTATCAGTTTCCAGATTCAGTGGATGTGGATGGCTAACATTAAAGTTCTCCTGTAATTACATATTCTTAATAAAATTATCAAAATATATTTGGGTGTCAATTACTAAACCTTGAATGTGTCAACTACTAATTTTTTTTCATTTTGTTGTGTCAACTGGTGGCACTTTTGCAACAATTTTTGTAAATTTTATAAAAAATATTTAGAAAGCAGAATTGTCCAAAAATTTATTTGTTAAATATTCAGGAAGGATTAGATTACCTGAATATACATATATTTTTTATTTAAGTTCAACTACATCGGTTTGAGGCTAAATAATGTTTTTTTTTTCTTCTTATAATGTCAACTACTAGTACATTTACCTTAATACAATTCGAGTATAAAAAAAAAATACTTACTGTCTTCGGTAGTAGTCGATAGGTACTTCTCGGCAAAGAAAATCTGTTTTTCCATATCTAGCACAGCGTTCCAAACACTCTGGAAATCGTTATCCTTCTCTTTTTGAACACTGGCAAGTTTAAACAACAACAGAGCTGCGCAGAGGCCCTCAGTTACTGATAATGCGATCGTTGGTTGAGCGACTGCTTTTTCTACAGATTTAGTGAGGATGGGGATGAACATTGAGGCTTGGGGTATTGTTTTTGTGTTGAAAGTGGCGATCATACATTGAATGTAGGATATTTTCACTGCAGGAGTGGATGTTTTCAAACCAATACCGTTCTAAAATAAACAAAAATGTTTTCTAAGGGTAAATATTGAAAAAAATGTGCAATAAAAGCATTTATAATAGAATTATAAGCAAATTTCAACTAACAAATGATTTTAATAACACTTTTTATTAATTTGCTGTTCACGTGTTCTGGTCAAATCTTGTAATTGATTTGATACCAATTTCTCAATGAGTTAGAGCATCGGTTCTCAACCTTTTAGCATTGGCGTCCCCTTTGAACACTGAAGATAGCTCACACCTCTCCTCCAGTCAATAATTGGTTGGTTCAAGTTAAGAACAGTGAAATTATGAAACTGACGATGCTAACTGTACGTTAGCAAAAGCTGGGATGCAAAATAAAAATCCAGATATATTTAAATACGAAAGTTTATTTGATGTCTCATTAAACTTAACATTGTTTATTTATTTGAGAAAAAGAATAACCAAAAAATCAAATACGCATATACAGTTGAAAGTCTTATATGAGTGTTTTTGCACTTTCAATGAGAGGGTTGGCATTGCCTGTTCTTGACAAGTTTTTCGATATTTGATTGAAACTGTGCCAGAGCACACCTCAAGTCACTTTCAACGTCCAGCCTTAAACGGTGTTTTGCCCAGAACGTCCACTTCTGGGTAAACAGGAAAGTAGGTTAACCAAAATTTTTCGAAGTCCATGTTTGCAAAATCTGCTTTTGCTTGTGAATCACATTTTAGGTCAATTGCCTGCTCTTGAAGGTTAACTGGAAGAATGTCGACTTCGATATTAAAAGGATCTTTGTCAACTTAAATTCCCAGCTTTCCGAGCTAACATCTGGAAAGTACTTTCGAATTTGATTTTTCAGTTCTTCCAAATGTCGTGATATGACATCTTTCAAATCCGAAACTAGATGTAGTGGAAGGGTTTGAATATCATCGAGGAGGTCGTTGAGTTTAGGAAAAGTGAAGCTGGAAGTTGGCTTGGAACTGTGAAGGCGGCGTTGCCAAAGCGATATTTTTTTACAAACCCCTTAATTGCATCAGAAGAGGTTTTTGAGTTTTGAGGCCTTGAAGCTTCAGATTCAGGACATTAAGTGTCTCAAAAGAGTCAGACAAATAAGCAAAGTAAATGATATTTTTATCATCTGTAAATCTTCTGTAAAAATCTTGTTTTGAAGTCATTAACAAAATTTCAACTTCTGATTTTAAATTGAATAATTTTGCAAGCATATTTCCTTTGGTTGAAAAAACAACAAACTTGGGAGAAATACATCAAGGACTTATTCGCAGATAATAGGGAAGAAATAAATGATACATTACCAACTAATGAAAATCTAAAAATTCTGATATCAGAGGTTAAACAGGCAATTAAAATCTCAAAAAGTGGTAAAGCGCCAGGTCCCGATGAAATTCCTGTAGAGATATTAAAAATCCTAAATGATGAAAATATAGAGTGTCTAACTAAATAATTTAATAAAATATACCACGATGGTCAAATCCCGGATGAATGGTTAAAATCTATCTTTTTACCCTTACCCAAGAAAAATAATCCTAAATCTAAAAAAATGCAGGGAATATAATAAAAACGTATTCATATGTTATATAGATTTCCAAAAAGCTTTTGATAGAGTCCAACATGGTAAACTCATACATGCATTGAAACACAGACACCTAGATTCCAAGGATATTAATTTAATCAAAAATCTGTACTACAATCAAACAGCGGTCGTACGGGTGGAAGATAGTAGTGAGACAAACCAGGTGGAAATTCAAAGAGGAGTCAGATAGGGATGTGTGCTGTCGATACAATTATTTAATGTGTACTCCCAACTAATATTTCAGGAGGCACTATGGGAAAGAACTGAAGGTGTAAGGATTGGAGGGAGCATTATTAATAACATAAGATTTGCAGACGATACCGCAACCATGGCAGAGAATATAGACGATTTACAAACTCTCCTGGAAATTATTAACAGAGAAAGCAAAAAGATGGGACTAACAATGAATATAAATAAAACCAAATACATGGTGATCTCAAAAAACCCTGTTGACAACATACAACTGACATTGGAGGGTAAACCCCTAGAGAGAGTCGACAAATGTAAATACCTCGGAGCAATTATAAACTCACAGTTAGATCAAGAGCAGGAGATAATGGTCAGAATAGAAATAGCTCGAAAAGGCTTTATAAAATACAAGTCAATGTTTACAAATAAGAAATTGAGTATGGCCGTCAGATTGAGGTTCGTCGAATGTTATGTTTGGTCGCAACTATTATATGGGGTAGAAGCTTGGACTCTGAAAGCCCAATCTATAAAAAAATTGGAGGCATTCGAAATGTGGCTATATAGGCGTATTTTGAAGATTCCTTGGACTGCAAAAGTCTCAAATGAGGAAGTGTTAAGACGAGTTGGACATGGCAGAAAGCTTATGAACACAATTAAAATATGAAAAACATCGTATCTGGGCCACATACTCCGAAACGATAAATACTCTCTGCTACAACTCATCATGCAAGGTAGAGTAGAGGGAAGAAAAGGCTTGGGAACAAAGAAGAAATCTTGGCTGAGGAATATCAGAGATTGGACTAACCTCAGTGTTGAACAGATATTTCACGTTGCAAAAGATAGAGAAACGTTTAAAGAAGTGATCGCCAACCTTCTTTAGAAGACGGCACAAGAAGAAGATTTTCTTTGAATAACCACCGGACTTCTGTGTGAAACAGGAGGGTTTCCTAATCACTATCCAGTTCTTGACATAGTGCCAGCACACAACACTATTAAATAATTCACAAACAATCACTCTGTTATTAAATAACGATTACACTGATTGCTACAAAGAGCACACAGATGCTGTCGACTGAGACTGACGCGTGAGACGGAGGCACTGAACTGGAGCCAGGAGTGCTTGGAAAACAGTGTTGCTAAATATACTTTGCGCTCCTACGATGTTGCCATACACAAGACTGTCGTGTTTAACTCAGGTTGTGTGTTTGAGTAGAACGATTTTATTCACATTTAAATAAAGAAATATTTCTAAACAAAATAAAAATACGAAATACAAAATATTTTGTTTTTTAACAAAATATATACTTTTTAATTTTAATTTTTTTTTCTTTGTACCCTCACGACTCCCTTGAAATTCTCTCACGCCCCCCCCCCCCAGGGAGAACCACTGATTTGTAGTATTATATTTTTTCAAAAATAAAACATTTTTGTAAAAATTGTCTTTTATGTTAAAAATATGCGATCTTACCTTTAATATATCCAAAATTTTTTTAGGTACCTCCTGACTTAATTTGCTAGTCCACAACGACATCATTTCCAGAGAATGACACAAAGTTTTTTCGTGTACCTCAGTTTCTAAAACCTTACCGAAAAACTCAGCAGCTACTACTATTAAAGCTTGAAAATGTTCAGGTGCTACCGCATTGCAGCTGAGATGGCCAGCACCTAGTAAGACACTGATTTTATGATCTACCACTGTCAGTTTTCCGTCTGACCCGTGGAAGACGGCGAAAGTTTTCTTGAGGAGTTCCTCTACTGATTTTTGGTCTTTAACTTTTTCAGCGAGTCTTTTGCAAGCGTCTGCGGCTTCGGATCGTGCTTTGTCATCTTTGGAATGTAAATTAGCTAGAAGAGAATAGTGTTTATTGAACAAATACTTATTTTTTCAGATACATTTTAAAAGAAAGATACAGAGAGGGAAGAGGCACAAATAAGTTGCTCATAGACCCAAAAAAATGAAATTATTTTACTGGTATGTCTCGCCAAACGTCCATTTTTATTTTTTCTCCCTCTTTTGTGCTTAGAACTTTAATATCATAGTTTATATTGGTGGAGATACGTAGACGAAGTACTGGTATGTTTCACAGGAACTAAAAGGTAACTCGATCAATTTTTATCGTATATTAATTCACTTCACAGTCATATTGAATTTACAATAGAAACAGAACAAAATCAATCCATAATTTTTTTAGATTTAAAAATTATCAGACTTAAAAACAAACATGACTTCTCCATATTTCATAAACCTATCCATACTGACACGACTATACACAATTCATCATCCCATCCAATACAACATAAACTGGAAGCCTATCATAATATGTTACATAGATTAACAGAAATTCCGATGTCAAAATACAACTTTCAAACAGAATTAAATATCATCAAGAAAATAGCAGTAAACAACGGATACAACGAACAAACAATTAATAATATGCTAAATCAAAAACTACATAAGAAAGCCCTGACATTAGTATTTCCACCATCAGAGAAAAAACCCAGTACCTTCTGCTCGATTACATATACAGGCAAAATATCCACAAAAATAGCCAAACACATAAAAAAGAAAGGAATAACACCAGCTTTCCGAACAAATAACAACCTAGGCAAATATATTAAAAATAAAAAATTAATAAATTAATATATTAATAATAAGAGCCAAAATAAAAAACACTTAAATAGTGGTGTGTACAAACTTAAATGTGGCGACTGCCCAAAAACTTACATCGGTCAAACTGGTAGAAAATTTAATAAACGAATAGCAGAACATAAAAGGGCTTTCAATAATAGAAAAACAGAGTCTACATACGCACTTCACCTTCTAGATCACAATCATTCCTTTAATGACGAATTTAAAATTCTTCACATTCAAAATAAAGTCCTTAAGCTATCCTTGTTAGAATCTATGGAAATTAACAAATTAAAAAACACAGATATAATTCTGAATGACCAACTTGAGACAAGCAGTTCTCCCCTCCTCAACCTATTTCATTAGAGAATTTTGTGGAAGTTTGAAAACAAAGTTTTCAGTGTTTTATTAATTACTATTTTACTGGGAATAAGCCACAATTAAAGATAAAAATATGTTTATTGACGTTTCAATTTCCACTTCAGAAATCGTTCAAAAAATACAAATAGTAAAATAAACAAATTTTGTTTTTTGTTACATAGTGAAAAATTTTTCTAATAATTTAATTTTATTTGACTCATTTATATTGACAATTCAAACATACATTATGCATTTTAAAGTAGACGACTTTAAAATGATATTGCCAATATTGTTGAATTGCGCTCCTGGGACGACTTTACTTATAAGATAGTTCATTCGATTACATGAAATCAACTTTAACTTGAGAGTATCCGTCAGAAAAAAAAATCATAGCATGTAATTCGTCTTTAAAAAGACAAACACATGACATGATGACAGTAAAATTCTCCTGTTAGTGATTCCATAGTAAATTATGAGGGAAAAACCAGGAAAAAAACCTCATAATACTATCCCGACATGGTAAGTATTTGTTTGTGCATTTAAAAAACATAAATGATGTGTCCTCTATATGTTACTGACTTACTAATACTGGTATTTTCTTATTAATGACTTCCTCTTTCAATATTGGTAACCAGATCCTACTATATTCTGCCGAGGAATTTGCGACACAATTGGCCTCGTTTAGCATAATTAGAGCCGCTTCTTTGATTTTTCTTTTTTTACCATCCGTTTCTTTTAGGACTACATTTGATGGTACTACTTCCAGATTTATAGTAGATATTTGTATAAAGAGACATGAATACGTAAGCATATATCTAAACTATTTTTCTATTATCAAATACATGACTCAGTCAGTATTGAGTTACCTACTTTAAAATATATTCATTATCTCATAACTTGCAATTTGCATTGTCAACATTGATAACCTGTAAAGTCCTTTGAAGTCGATATTTATTTTGTTTTGCATTTGAACTAATTTGTGTATTATTTTCATATTATATTATTTGTATATTCACAGTATTTCCTCTGCACAAAATTTTTAAATTTCAACGGATTTGCATACAAAAGAGTGCTTATATTATTAGTATATATATGAAAACAAAAATAAATATTTCGCATGAACCTCCAGGAAAAGTAAAGGTTTTACGCTACTGAAAATATATTTTTTATTCAATAACCAAAAATTCGATCACTTTTTGGCCATAATTTCAAAATTCATGTGTACATTACGCTGTAATAATGTGTTCGAGGCATTTCGAACGGTCTTGACTACGTCACACTACTGGGCTGTCAAATGCTGTGCGCAATATCGTACATTGTATTCATTGTACCATGCATTACTTCCATGTCTAGCATCAATATTACGTGGTCAATTTGGTTCTGCGTGAAGTGGTCATTAGAGACATAAGTCTGTTTATGAATGTTTTTATGGTGGAACATAGTAGATTTTACAAGCATATTGTTAGCCGATGCTAGTTCTAAGAGCCTTTGTCCATTGTCGTTTGAGATATCGTGGAGGCTGTATTGTCCAATTGTCAGTCTTAGGTTAGGTTCGTTGCCAATTTTTGCGGTGAAGTCTCCACAGATTATCTGCATGTCTTGTTTGGAGATTTTCTTAAGTGTTCTTTTGAGTTGTTCATAGAAGTAATCTTTAATATCCTTCATAAAAATAGGTAGGCTTAGATGGGCTGGACATGTGTCAAGAGCAAATGAAAATTACCCACCCAGACGAACTCTATTATCGGTCCCAGTGGGAAATAGGAGAGGAGGCAGACCACGACTGAGATGGAGGGACGGTGTGGACGAGGACGCAAGGAAGATCGGCGCGGCAAATTGGCAACGGTTGGCGATGAACAGAAACGACTGGCGAAATAGACTGGGGAAGGTCAAGGCTCAACTAGAGCTGTAGCACCAATGATGATGATGAATCTTTAATAGGTTCGTCTTTATCTTCTGTCGGAGCAAGTGCGGATATAATTGAGATATTGTACGACTTTCCATTCAGTCTAATATAACAAAGTCACATAAAGAGACACTAAAATTTATTAGTATTAAATGAATGGACAGATTCTTATTTTTTCTGGAAATTTAGGAGATTTCATTGATTGTCTGCAGTCTACACATGAGTTAATAGTTATTGTGAACAGTATTAACATTTTTGGATTAAGTTATGAAAATTGATTTGCAACAATAAAGAAAAATCATAAAATCAAACAATAATCACAAAATGATTGTTGAATATAATTAAGCAGTGGCAAAGACTTCTGTGTAAACTCAGGAAAATTTGTCCAGGAAAATTTGTCTTAAAGCCGATAGAGTGTACAGGAAAATGTTCTGGCAGTTTAATTAACAAGAATCCATACAAATATTACAAAATATGAAGTACTACAATATGTCAATAATATCAAGAATTGTGTAATATACTATATAAAAACTCACCTATCAAACTGTTTCCCAAATCTCCAGTGCATTTACTGAGATCTAAATCCACTCCTGATATCACCAGTCCAACACATTCTAAAATAACTTCAGGATTCCTCAGCATAGCTTTCTGAAGAGCAGGAAGGACAGATTTGGTAAACAATTGCTGATTGATTTGAGACAAGAGAGGATAACAAGCTATAATTATGTTTGGAGACGGCCGGACTTTGCAGCTGATGAAGTTCTTAATAAAGGTATCCACTAGCAAGTCCTGAAATATAATAATAATAATAATATATTCATTTGCAAATCTAATATAATCATAGGTAATGATTATAAATTACAAAATAAGACACACACACACACACACACACACACACACACACACACACACACACACACACACACACACACACACACACACACACACACACAGATTTATAATTCGATGATATTATAATTCATCACTTTTATTGACTAAATAATCTGCTAAAATTTTGATGGTTTCGTTTGTAATGCTTTCTATGTCTAGAGTTTATGAGTAGGTAGATTTTTGAACCAAGTGATTTTCATAGCTTTCTGCGACTAGAGAGTACATTCTTTGATGAACTATTAAGAATCGTTATACCTACGAGAAATTAAAAAAAAGTATACTGTTATGTGAAATGCTATCTCACCAAGTCAGCATTTATCAATAACATTATGTTACCTAGCTACTGGAAATATCTTTGAAGCGAATTGTCTAGGACTCTAGGAGATGTAGAAAAGTTTTTAGTATTGTAATGATGGCAGTTGTAAATAGCAATTATGAATTTATTATGGTAGATGCAAGAATAAATGAATGAATATCAGACAGAGGTGTTTTGAATTATACTGCATTTGGATAAATCATAATCAGATAATTCACTTAAAATCCCAGACCTTGATCTCTTGCCAGCCAAAAGATACTTTTTGTCTTTGTTGGAGATGACGCTTTTGCACTGACAGAAAATTTTATGAAACCTTACAGCCAAACAGGATTTACGATGGAAAAAGAATTTTTAATTATCGACTAGTCAGAGTAGGAATAGTAATGCATTTGTGCAGTCGTGAAAATGCATTTGGAATATTAGTATCAAAATTCGGTGTATTTCCATGACCTATTGCATTATCGTATGAGAAAGCTCAAATCATTGTCTTATTATGTTGCCATTTACACAATTATTAACGAAGAAACCAGCCTCAGTGATACATTAATTTCGTGAATGTAGAAGATTTTGAATTAGGAAGTACTGTTGCAGGAACTTGGAGAACAACTGGACAATCAATATCCCTTTGTACAACTCATGCCAGAAATTCAGACACTGTGGCAAAAAGTGTCATATAATTATAAGGAGGGGCAGGTTTCATGGCAATCTAAATTTGCTTAAAGTAAACTTGAATTATTAAACTTTATATACTTATACTGATTGTTAAAATAGTATTTGAATTATCACTCTCCACATCGTTTATTTGCCTTATCATTATCATTATCCCCATCCTGTATAGTACTTTGTGAAGCACTAGGTTCGTCCTGACCCACGAGAAACTGCATTTCGCTAAAATACCATAATGTTGGTAGAATTACATTGTCTGTCCCTGTACCACTTTTTTCAGAGTCCCTTATATGATGTAATTCTTTTCCAAAGTTAGTGCACAATGAATTGAATTTTTTCACTAACTGCAACTATTTTTATTTTATTACTATAATCTTTACTTTTAACATTCCACAAAGCCATTAACGACCAAAACAGATCGATGCACTCTATAATAAACTTTCTTTCTTCCCACTTTCCCTTTGCATACATATTTTTTGCTGTACCACGATGTTTACAACAAGAGTGTTAAAGCAAAACTAAACCAATATTGCGCAATATTACTCACAGACGCCGCAACACTTACAATATTGCTCAATAGAAATCAAAGTCATGTGGATTGACACAAAATATTGTGCAACCATTCAATGTGATCTACAGATGATCAATATATTGTACAATATAAATTATTGTCCAAAATATTGACAATAATATTGACCATCTAGGGGCCGCTTTACACAACTAGCACTATATTTTGTTTATTACTCATAATTAGATAAATGATTACACACTATGTAATTGCCAATAACAAAACTGTAAGTTTGATGTGTTTATATATAAAATATATATTCTTTTTTAAATAAAAAGAATCATAATATCATTGTTTTGACTTTTAAAATCCACAGGTTCAACAGCTGGCTTGGCAACAAGAATTTGAATAGTTGTTACTGATAAAAAGTTAGTCTACTTACCATATAGGTGTTAAGTTCTTCACTCTTAGCTTTGGACAACTTTTCAGCCAACAAAGATGCTAATACTACTATATACTGATTCTGTTCCACCTTTTTGATGACTTCTAGGTACATTTTTTCACTATCTGGCACACTGGACCAAGATCTATGCATCTAGAAACAAAATACATGATTTTACAATGACAGAGAAAAGTTAAATGCTAAGAATATCTGCATAAATGAGTGTTGCAACAAGATTTTACTGCTTCTCATTATCATATCATATCTTAAGCAAAAAATCAAAATTACAGCTTTTAAAGCATATCTGAGCTTAGGATGTATATTTAGAGTATTATTGTTACTATTCTCCATTATATATTTTAATTCTAATTGAATTCAGCACAAATCTAGTGAGAATAAATAAAGAATGAAATAAATTAGTTCCAAAACTTCCAAAAAAGTGATAATGACAAGCAAAAAACTCTTTCTGTATTATCATTATAGCAAAATAAATGATAAAATATATCAATAGAATTTATATAAAGTAAATAAATAATTCAAAATTCATCTTTTGCTGTCAAAAATCATTTTTAACAAATGGGGTCAAAATAGATAAAATAACTATTGACCATAAAGCAAAAATGTACTCACCAAAGTAATAGCTTTTAGTTTCCTCTTCATGTTATCTGCACCAAGAATTGAGGTAACTAAATAAGACTGCAATTCAACTATTTGTGTAAGTTGTGCCTGAACAGTACCTGGACTGTGCTTCCATCCTTTTGTGAATATAATTGTAGACCAAGTCAAAGCAAACAGAGCAGTTTTGCTGGTGTTGTTGCTGTAAGATATTCCAATTACCAATTTTACTCAAATATATCTAAACTAATAAACTTACGTGATGACTATGTTCTTGTATTGTGTAGCAACATCTACCAAAACGTTTGTGAGACATTTTATGGCTGCTTCTGGATGATCTTCTACCAGTGCGGTTACCAAATTCTTTACAAGCTGTTGTGATGATCTATCTCTGTATCTGGACAGAGTTAAAGGCAATGTTTTGGAAATTCCCTTAACGATATTTTCGTTTACAGCTATAATGAAACAAACCGACATAGTAGTAATAATTCTCATATGGTTATTTTATAAAAATACTCACCCGGATTTTTTAAAACTCTAATAACGTTGTCAATAACCTCTTTCCTTTCCTTCAAACTTGCAGTTTGAATTTTATAGTGGATATCTTTCAAAGCACTAGTCAACTGTGAAGAAAAATAGAGATTAGCAATATATTTACGATTTGTTTTATTCAATATTATTGAAAATACTTATTCCACGTGAGGAAAACCTACCTCCGCATCTGCCATTTTCAAGTGTCAAAAGAGAGATGATATCTGACAATCTAATCTGTCACTTTACTGTCAATATTTTATTTAGCAGTGAAGTTCGCATCTAATTGTTGACAATGTAAAGAAAATAAATTTTCTGATTTATAATCTGTATAAAGTGTTATCTATATAGTAGTGAGAGATTTATGTATGTATCTGAATTAGTAGGAAATTATGTTGAAAGTCTATTCTAGATGTTCTATACTATAATAGAAGAAGTACAATACTATAAATAAATATATTTAATTTTTAAATAGCCTTTATATTTGCTATAAACCTACCTACCTGTTATTAGTTTTAACACGAACTTTTATTATCAAAATTTCTTAAAATTATTACTTGATACTTAATAAAGCACAAATGCATTATATTTACGCTTTAAAGTTTATTTACTATCATTTTTTACGTTTCGAAGAGGAAAAATGATCCACTAGAAAAAAAATATATATAGCAAGAAACAAGTACGAACTATTGTATGAAGAAAATTGTGTCAGTTTATCAGAAAAGTGTAATTTTGTAATAAATTTAACATGATTTAAAAAAAACCAGAATTTTCTATCCAAAGCGCACTATAAGCGTGGAAATAATGTATCAACTGAAGTATATAAAGGCGACAGAAGAATAAAAAGTTTGTTATTGTATGATTTTCACGTGGTTGACCTATTAACGGGTGGTTCACACATTTTTAAAGCAAGCGCTTTGTTTAAATTTCGCAAGTTTCTGTTCAATTCAATTATATCGCTATCTTATTGTGAGTTATTTAAACAGATTTCCCATTTTAGAGTTGTTTAAACTTCTTTGGAAACGTTACGAACGAAAAATGTGGAATTTGGAACTGATCGTGACACGTCTCTCGGAACTTTTTGGTCAATTGCTGAATAATTATTAATTATCTCAAGACGATCTCAAGAAAATTGAATAAACCGTCCTGGTGCTTCTAATTTTCCTCGAAGGATTTCGACGTACGTCAGATGATGATGAGGAAATCGAGGAAACTTATCTCAACGTAAGATAGGGATAGTGACGGCGCTTTTTGGCATTATCGTTGCAAAATAAAGAACTCTGTACTGTAATTTGTAGGAAGTTGGTGGTTAAACTATTTCCTGATAGCATTTTTTAAGGGGTTGGGGTAGGGTTTATTCTCAATTTTTCAAACATACTTTAAGGATTTTTTTTGAAAAATTCTTTAATGTAAATTTCCAACATTATTACATTATAGTACAACATGAAATTTTGGTACACAAATATTATAAATTAAGAAAATGACTGAAAAAAAAAGAATGGACGATGAGAATGAAAATTTTCCAAAATGAAGAAAAATTACTTTTGGCGTTCATCATAACTTATAACTGGATCATCTGTTAAAAAACGAAACTTGTTAAAAGGCTTATCTAGACTATGGACGGATAAAGTTCATTAAAATTAAAGTATAGCGTTCAAAAATATCAGGATCGTGACGATTTATTGGCCAATCGAAAGTAATTCCCGTAGACCAGGCCATATGCTGAGTTTTGTCTCAAGAAGATCCCAAAGAGTGACCTAAACACACTGATGGTTCAAATCGTTTAACAGCTCTCTCGGTTTTTAGTCTTATTCATAGTACTAAGAAGAACATAGAAGTACATAGAAGAAAAAAAGACAATTTGAGCAAAAGCAGTTGGAAAGCACAGAATGGCTAAGAAATCAAAATGAAACTCGAAAGTTCTACAGAAATCTAAAAAAAATACGCAAAGAATTTAAGCCAAGAATAAGGAGCTGTAATGACGTAGAAGGAAACATCCTAAATGATACGGCCTCAATCCTAAATAGATGGGTTGAATTTTTCGATGCAAAATTTAATGGCCATCATATCGAAGAAGCAGATAACACCCTAGCAAATCGAAATGATTGGAATCCTTTCAACCCAAACCAAAGACCACCTACCATCGAAAACGTTGCCCAAGCCATTAAAAAGCTTAAAAATAATAAATCATTCGGAGTTGATCAAATTTGCAGTGAGCTCTACAAGAATAGTGGCGATGCCCTACTACAGACACTGCATAAGCTTTTACTTCTTGTTTGGCATAACGAGACCATGCCCTGTGAATGGCCTCAGGGCGTGATATGCCCGTTACATAAAAAAGGTGACCAGCTCCAGTGTGACAACTATAGAGGTATAACCCTGTTAACAACTGCTTACAAAATACTAGCAAATATTCTCTACGAAAGGCTGCAAGTTTACACAGTGGGCATAGTTGGTAAATATCAAGCTGGATTCACTCCAGAAAAATCAACAATTGACCAGATTCATTCAATAAGACAGATTCTCGAGAAAACATTAGAATTCAATATTGAAACCCATCACCTATTCGTTGACTTCAAGGCCGCATACGACAGTGTCAAGAGAATAGTGCTATACCAATAAATGCATGAGTTTGGTATACCAGAGAAACTTATCCGACTAACGAGAATGACAATGTCTAACTTAGAAGCCACTGTTAGAATACAGGGAGAAAGTTCTAGATCCTTTGACATAAAGGATGGCGGTACTATTTACAATAGATCGATACAAGTCCTAGCATATGCTGATGACATTGACATAGTAGGGCGTAGCAAGCGAGATGTTGAGCAATATCTCCTAGAATTGGAAACAGCGGCGAAACAGGTCGGTCTAGTCATCAACGAAGGCAAAACCAAGTACATGTTGGTTACAAAGGTCCTCACATATGGAGCAGAAACATGGACTCTAACGCAGAAAGATGAAAGACTTTTGAGAATATTTGAGCGTAAAATACTCCGCAAAATATTTGGAGCTGCAAACGACCAAGGGCAGTGGCGCAGAAGATATAATTTTGAATTGTATCAGCTCTTTGATGAGCCAGATATCATAACGTCCATTAAAACACAGCGACTTAGATGGGCTGGATACATAATACGAATGCCAGAAAATACGATTGCTAAAAAGCTAACCACAGGAACACCTGTAGGAAAAAGAAGCAAAGGCCGACCGCGAATTAGGTGGTTAGATGAAGTGGAAGCCGACTTAAGTACGAATATTAAAAATCAGAAGATGGCAACATGTTGCCAAAAACCGAACAGAATGGCGACGAATCTTAGAGTAGGCCAAGATGATGATTCATAGTACTAAAGAACATCTCGTTGTAAAATACGATGGTTAACATAGTAGAGTTTTTGTAATAATCTTTAACACATTGGCTGCCACTATAAGAGTGTTAGGTTGCCAGTTGCCAAAGTGAAAAATGCTTACAATACAATAATTATTTATACAAATGGTTAATATTACAAAGTAAGTTTACATTCTTATATTTTTTTTTTGAAAAAATAGCAAGATCACGAGTGACCTTTGTAAATAATAAATGCATTTATAGCTGCAATATTAGCCAAGCCATAGCACAAAACAAGAAACGCCCACCCACGGGTGGAGTCTGTCAGTATACATTTACAGGTAGCAATTAAAGGGATTCATACAATTTCACCAAATTATGCGAAAGTGTACCATTCAGTACCATTAAAAGGTACACCGAGTCTAGGAAAAAAATACAAAAAAATTGAAAAATGAAGTAATTTCATTTATAGGTGTATTGATAGACTCCACCCGTGGGAAAGAGGATTAATATAACATTATAAAATCTAGAAACAAGTTTGGTTTTCTTTTGAGCTTCTTTACTGTCTTTTATTGCAACTTTTTCGGTGTAACATTTATTACAACGTTTTCTCGTTTTTCTATTGTTTGCAGTTTTGGCATCAACTGTAACAAGCTTATGCTTTACAGTAGTAATAGGTTCAGGCATCGGACTGTAATTGACTAAACTAAAGATTAGCATTTCCCGAAATGAGATAACTTGCTGTTTTGGTGTGTTGAAGAAATTATATATTATTAAACTATTGATGACAGCCGTATTCAATAAAACTTAAATTGCAGCTTTATGGTACCAGCGAACAGTTTTGCTCAGAGGTGAGAAATAGCTTGTTGCGAGTTGGTCTGAGGCGTCAACACCATCTTTTCCTTTGTTGTAGTCTATAATTGTTTTAGGTTTAATTATAGCTACACCATCTTTTTTATGTTACCTGTCTCTTTCATGTCGATTCCATGTCTGATCGTCAAGAAGAGGATATCACGTTTATCGTGCAATTTGCCTTTTACAATGCCATCACGATGTTCCTTTCCAATAATCTCGCCTTTTTTTACGGAAAGTATATCTTCCTTTTGGAATATATTTTCTGTTTTTACGTAGTATCTCTAATCAGTCACTATTAGCATCTAATAATTATTTTACTAAAGGCCCAGACGTGTAGTAATTATCGGCTCTTATAACTCTGGGACTCCGGCAGGGGTGTTGCATATCCCCCACATTGTTTAAAATCTACGTGACGAAAGCACTGTATCAGTGGAAGAGAAAGTGCAGAGGAATGGGCATTGACCTGGGAGAAACTTGCCTATATACCCTACAGTTTGCAGACGATCAAGTCCTTATAGCCAACGATAAAGAAGACTGACATTTATGACCAGAAAACTACAGAAAGAATACAAAAAGTGGGGTTTAGAACTCAATACACAAAAAACAAAATATCTCCCAATAGGCGCAGAACTATCCAACATTCAGATGGACACAACCGAAATTGCTTTCTTCACTGAATATACCTACCTAGGAATTGATGTCGACACCACAGGCACAGACAATAGGGAAATTAGAAAACGAATAACCCAGGCCCGTAGAACAATTGATTGGATGCCTTAACGGAGTTCTTTGGAGCTCAGAAATTATAATCATAAAAACCAGCTTAACCTATGGTACAAAGACATGAAGACTAACAGAAAGCAATAAAAGAAAACTCGAAGCAACAGAAATGGATGTATTTAGACGATCACTTCGAATATCTAGGGCAGACAGAATTAGAAACGATGAAATAAGGAATCGGATGGGGGTAGATGGATCACTGGCAACAGACATAGAAAGGAAACAACTTATATGGTATGGCCATGTTCAAAGAAT